CCTCTGTAACACAGCACCCAGCTGGGTGACACTGCAGACCATCTGCCAGTAGCTCAGGGAGTGAAACTAGCCAGGACTCCCCTAAGCTTACAGTATAGAGCCATGGGATCTGTAATGACCATGTTCTAACCAGTTTAACGTCTCAATCAAAGGTCAGCACCACTGCGGAGGAGAAATCCCACTCTTGACACAACAGAGGCGAGATTGGGGGAAAAAAAAGACACTTTATTTTTTCAGCATGCGGGAGGGAAATACCCACAAGTGGCCAATTCTACACCTCTCTCACGCCAGCAAAGAAAGCAACATCCATGGTAAGAATTGGACTGGAATCGTGCTCTATTTCAGAGGGTGAAAAGGAACATTTTTCCATTGCAACTGAGCTCAAAGCTGGAGATGATCACCAGATAGTACCGTATTAACTAGTCCGCAACTTAGCGTGAAGATGCACGCTAAATCCGAAAGTTCATTGCAATTGACCCCTCACGATATGGGGGAGGATGTGAGGTGTAATCATGACAGCAGCTGTCTCTGGTCAGTTTTGGGGAGAGCAGGGGCTCGACTGCTGCCCTTTCCCAGTTGGGAATGAATGAAACACCGGAGCTAATAGGCGAAGTTTCCGTTGCAGGGGGTTAGTGCAAGGAGAGATTGTGCGAGACTCCATTAGTGCACGACTACAATAACAATGTCCCAGCCTAGCCAGTGATACATACCCACAGAAAGAGGTGCAATAACACACAATTTAAACTAAATTCACTTAACAAGGGTACCCACACAAACTTGCTGTACTGCCCTCTCTGCTGTGGCCCCTGCCCGTCCAGGGGACACAGTTCCTCGTGGGGTTAGCAAAGCCAAGCCTGTTGACTCCTTTGCCCTGACAGTCGGGGTAATTTACACACCTCTTATGGCCTCAGCCATTCCCAATTGGAATGCCTGGAAGTCCTTTACATCCGATAATATTCCCCGAAACCTCGCTCTAGCCCCGGTGAAATCGCTGCATGGAGTGACTGAGCTCCTGTATGTTAGACATTATTTTCTGATAAGACACGATAACAGGAACAAGCACTGAGGTTCCTGTGGTTGCCACCTGCCCAATTCCCCACCGTGTGTAGAGTAGAGAGCAACTGAGCTGTACCGACTGTACCAAGCTGTATCTGCACCAGCCTTTACAGAGCTTGTCAATTACCACACTACTCCGTTTCCAGACTCCTGGAGATATCCTCCAGTTTCCTCAGATCACAGTGGAGCCAACACACTGGTTTTCGCACCCTTTGTTCCACCAGGGACTAAAGCACAACCCTACAGAAAAGTGTCCGGACGGGCAGAAGTCTCCTTGCATGAACTCATTTAACTTCGGCCAGTACATTTCATACACGGTAAATGCATCCCAAAGCCCTCAGGTCAGTGAATCAGATGCTGCACCTAGGATCAGTCCGACATCCATTCATTTCTCATCCTATCATTTCTGCAGCAGTTAGCGTAAACTCTGTGCTACACTCAGCTCCTTTGATTACTTTTTTTAACAACCCATACAGGATATTAGTTGCTTTCAGCAATTACATTTCACTTCGAACAGGCACTTCCAAATAGTCCAACACTATCACCACAGACTTCGTCTCCCACGATATTGTTCTGTAGCTATACGTCTGAGACAGGCTGTCCTGTGATGGTTGTCAAGAGAGCACAGCCTAGGCTACTGGATGACCACTGGAAAAAAGTCGAACTATATTTACAGTATGTACTACAATCTCCTATGTCACCTCTACAGTCACCAATGTCACATGATTTAACATCGTTTTTGGTTACATAAAACTTCCATGATCAGGCACTGCAACACACACAGGCCTCTGATTACACACACGTGGGTAAATTTAAACACTTTACATCAGTATATCACAAACTCTTTTTTACATTTCCCTCCTGACAATATTGCCCCCCAACCCCTCAGTCTGGGTTCCCAGATACATGGAAGCAAATCTGTCCAGCTGTCCGCCTGAGAGAATCACAGTTTGGATGCAGCAGATGAGTCCTTCTTGGCGATTTGCTGGATGTAGGGTGATGGTCCCCCAGGGGTATCTGATCCAAGGACCAAAGGGCAGGTTTATTACCCATTTTCAGTGCCCCTGGCTGGGAGGCTGACTCTGTCCAGCTGTCAGGCAGGTGTCTTAATGTACAGTGTGCTACATCACTGGAGGCCCACACTCGAGGGCAGGAAAGGGCCAGGTTAGCGGAATGAGGACCTTCACTCTTCAGCTCAGCTGTCACACCACCTGGAATGAGATCATTTAGACACGGGCAGAGAAAGGTCAAATGCGACAAGGGAGAAACAAAACATTTGACAAAATCATTTGACTGCAAAATGTAGGTGTACATCAGAAAGACCTGAGTACCTGGTTTTCGGACCAAAACACTTCAATCAAGTCACTGGAATGGACTGTTTCTAAAGAATAAACATTTTCTTAACCACTTTATTCGGTTCAGTGTTGTGGGGGAGGCTGGACAGTTGTCAGCCCGTCACAGGGCAGACACAGACGAGCACAAACCCACACCACTGCCACTTTTTACAGAAGCCCATTAACCTACCAGTAAGTCTTTGGGCTGTGGGGGGAAACCCACACAAACTCGGGGAGATCATACAAACTCCACTCCAGGAACTGAACTCAGGGCCCAAGCTCTGAGGCTGCATTGCTAACCACCTCATCAAGTACTGGATTTTTATCTAAATGTAGTGACTTTTTTATTCTCAGAGCATGCATCTCACTCCATTAATAATCCCTGGTGGCCATAGAGCACCTTTCATCCTTTCGAGTGGATGCCCACTTCAACCTCCCGGGTGACACACTGCAGATCAGGGAGAGAAATCGGCTGAATCAGAGCGTCCAATAGGCAGGCCACCGGGGCTACCACACCCAGCCTTAGGGACATCTCAGAATCGCCTCCATCTAACCACAGCGCCTCTGTGAGGAGAAATACTGCTAATACTGCTTAGCCATTACACACTTCTCTTACTCCGGCAAAGAAAGCAACATGCTCGTTCGGAACTGGTCTGAGAACCCGTTACAGGCAGTAAGAAAAGAGAAGAGGCCTGTGACAGCCAGGGAGCTGGTATAAAAAAGGTAATCAAGGCTCAGTCTGGCTCTGATGATATTGTTCTGGCTTAGTCCGAGATATACAATGAGAACAGCTGCCAAGAAATCAGAGAGAGGAAACAGAAATCAAACAGACTTTTCTTCACAAGGCTCAGCAAGCTAAAACTAAAAAGCTTTCATACCAATACAAATTGATTTCTTTTCCACTTGACCTCTTACAGCAGGATTCCCACACGCTTCGGGGGCCTAGTTCTGATCTGTCTGCTTAATTGAACCCTTATCTGAAGGAGACTGAGAATACCTGTCCCAGAGCACACTGTGCCTCAGCCCTCATGTTGAACATTGGTCTAGATGAGGTAACACCTCATGGTCTACAAATTCCCCTTCCAACACTATGCTGGTTTTCCTTTCAGGTTTCTCATCCCAGAACTACCCAAACCCAGTCCTGCTTATATAATAATTATTATTAATAATAATAATAATAATAATAATAATAATAATTGCTTACACTTATATAGAGCTTTTCTGGACACTCCACTCAAAGCGCTTTACAGGTTATGGGGGCTCCCCTCCACCACCACCACCACCAATGTGCAGCCTCACCTGGATGCAATTAGGTGGATGCTGCATTAGGATGCAAAGTAGCATCACAGAAGGCTCACATTCAGAAACAGCCCTGTTGAACAATAAAACATTAATATAAGTTGTCTTGAATATAAGACAACTCATATATGGGCATATTAATCGGATATGAGGTTAAAAGTACGCTGCCCAGTAGTTTGGTAACCATCCAGAAACGTGTCTGGTCCGTATATTGAACTACATTTCCCACTCACCTTAGAACGCTGGAAAACCGGAAGTGCTTGAAGCTCACGTGTTTTATTAAACGGAAGCAGAAGCAGCATGGTTTGAAGTAGTACCGTGGCGTCTCCTGGATAATTGTTTATGTATGCGACGCAGGTAAAAAATTTTTTTTTTTTTTATATACAGGTCCCGAACACCTTCTTTTAAGGTTGCGAGTAGCATGTATTTTCATAGTCCTATTATTCAGAGAAACGCAATGAAGTCACTTGTGTATTGGGTTCCAGAAACACCATCGAATTGAAATGACCACATTCTGTAGGTAATTGTAATAACCGCTTTTGCAGGTTTGTCTTATTTTTTCTTCCGAAACAACGGTGCGGGCGCACACTTGCCAGTCAGGTGTATCTTGGCCAGCTCGACTCGCCTCTTCCTGGGGGTCTTCTTGGTAACCTGCCCTCGGATGCCAAATTCATGCAGGCGCCGCCGGATGGTGGTCTTGGACACTTTGTATCCGGAAGAGGCCAGTTTGTGTTGGAGATCTCCAGCTGTGGTCTTCGGATTGATGGTCACCTCCCGGACCACCTGTCTCACAGCCCGCCGTGGCAGAATACACTTGCGTCCTCTCCCCGGCAGAGTGGCCACTACACCAGTGGCCTTAAATTTCTTAATAATGGACACCACCGTGGACAGTGGCAGACTGAGCTTCTTGTGGATTGTTTTATAGCCATTCCCCAGCTTGTGGAGGTCAATGACCTTTTGCCTGCTGTCTTCGGAGAGCTCTCTGACCTTAACCATGATGATGCATGCTAATGCCTTCTGAAATATCTTTCTTCTTTGTCTTGACGGCTAGCTGTGCACATCGCCGGCGCATTACCGCCACCTATTGTATCGGAGTAGGAAGTGCAATGAATATGGTCCCGTCTTTACACCGTACAATATATGCATGATGTCAGCACCACTGAACGTCTGCTGTGTGTTACCTCCTTTTACACTGTTTTGCAAGACAACGGGGAAACTTGGAAAGCCTCTGTCTGATTCCAGAGGTTCCCATTGCCTCACGAGCATTACGAGTAGGATTTTCTTGCGATTATTTTGAAAAATTGTACTTAAAGGAGTACTTCAAGGTAGGAGTAAATGTGACTCGTGTTTTCTGGAATTCGGTGAATTATGACGTGACTTTCTTCTGTTCAGTGCTTTTACCATTACTGTATAACGTTTTTTAGAGAATTGTTTTAAGCAAAATGTGCTCCATAACCCCTTCTTTTAATGATGTTTTCTGTTCCTGTTTTATCAGGAGTGTGAATTTATCTAGAGGGCACTGCGTATATGTTGTTTATATATTTTGCATGGTCCTTTTATGAGCACAGCATCCTGCAGAGTCATGTTGCAAGACTGCAGCACCTAATGCCGGGTATTATTTTGTCTCTGTGGCTTATCGTTGGCTGATTGATTGTACAATAATAGAAGCCTGTTAGCACACATTAAAAGCCTTTTTTTTTCTGTTCACCAGAGATGTCTGGAGCCAAAGAGAGGATGCACCGCAAGAAAATGAGGAACCAGCCCAGCAACATCACCTTCTCTTCCCCTGGCTGGGCCCCTCCGCAAGACGAGAGGCGCTGGAGGAACGGAGGAGAGGCTCAGCGGCAAGGTACACGCTCCGCGCTCTCTAACACTTATTTATAACCGCTTTGTTGGCCTGATCACTGTCGCTGTGCGCTTTTATACCTGCTCCAGAAATTCTGAGAGAAGAGTCCCTTTTGTCGTCCTGGAAGTGGACGTGTTCAAGAATGGAAAGGCCATGAGCTGTGATGAGGAGACTGCAGCAGGCCTCCTGCTCAGCAGTTGCCATGAGAGAACCATCACTGCGAGCACTGAGTGTTGCCTGTTGTGCCGTTTTCCTCTTGCCGTGATTGAATTGAGGTCTGTTTCTAGGTAGAAGTTATGGTGGCCCCCAGCAGCCGGGGGGGCCACGCCCTCCTTCCTCGGCCCCCAGCCCCCAGGGTCATCCGTCTGGGGGGGTCAGGGGACACCAGTGGGGGGACAGTGCAAGAGGAGTCCAGGGATATTCCCAGAAGCTCCCCAGATACATCACGGGTAAGTCTGGGAACCCCGCGCAGCTTCAGTGAGGGTGGGTGGCTTCAGCCCTTGTGCTCTCCTGCGGCCTGCAGCTGCAGCTTCGGCCCTGCAGGAGTCAGGCAGCACTGCCGACTCGGCGTGCTGGTGCGCGAACGAAACCAGAGCGACTCCTCACTCCTCGCGTCTGTTCTGGGTCGGTTTAAAAACGTCAGAGGTAAAAAAAATAAATAAAATGCTTAGAATCTTTGAAACTGGACAGACCAGAAACAAAGACCCAAGTCAAAAGTTACACCAGTACGTTCAGTGACATGGTGGTAACGTGTCTTTGCTTCACACCTGCTGATATGGATTATAAGGTTACTAGAGGGCCTGTTTGAAAGTAACAATGCTCATGAAGCTGGGCTTTCTAAAACAAGCAGAACGGGTTAAAGTGTGTTTCAGAAATGTAGGTAGGGAAAAATGTGAAGATGTGTGAGCAGCTGTGTGATTAAGTGACAGCGAGTGGCGTTGACGCAGCCCAGTATGTAGAACAGAAATGCCGCTACAGGAGTGGTGGTGGGGGGATCGTCTCACTTTCTGCGGCTCTTCTCCTCTCCTCCTGCTCCCCGGCAGCGTCGGTGTTTGCCCAGGCCCGGGCCGCCGAGGTGGGCGCCATGCTGAGGGCCGTGACGAAGACCACGGGCAGCTCGCACGTGTTCGGCGCGCTGCCCAAGCACATGAGGCGCCGGGCCATGAGCCACAACGTCAGGCGGCTCCCCCGCCGGCTGAGGGCGGCCGCTGCGCGAGTGGTACGTTCGAACCCGCGTCCGCCCCTTCCTCCGGGCGCAGCCCCGGCCTGGGGGGTTTCCTCACACTGGAACGTGTGGGAGGCTGTTACCAGCAGTTTATCTGGGTGTCCCCCTGCAGTACGCCTTTGCTAAAACATTGCATATAATTAAATAACAATATTGAATGTGTAAATCACAATGTTTAAAAAGTTGCTTACAGAGTAGTTCTCAGTTTAAGGTGGGGGGATTATTTGTATTTGAGCTGTTGTTCTGCAGCCTGCTCTAGGTCAGGGGTTTACTTGTGTGCTACACTGGGGCATTTTGCTGGAGAAGTCTGATTGAAGTACGCTTATTCTTGCTCGTGTGTACAACACAGGTCCCCCGGCCAGGGAGCCTTGAAGCCCCAAAATGACATTTTTGATGGAGTTAGGTTTTTGTCATGGCCTGAACCATTTTAGGTTAAGAACCCACAGTTCTTGGTTTAAGAGGAGTAAGAATTAAGACAGAATATTGAAAGTACCACCGAAAGCATGTAGTAAAGTCACAATCTGGTTCATCTGGTGTTGTTTATTAAACACTTGCCTTATGCAAACAGAATACTTCCTGTGTTGAAGGACTAAAAATGAGAGGTCATTGAGGCCTCCAGAGTGGCTCAGCTTTTAAAGGTGCTCATCGGAGTACAGACTGTTCTGTGGTCCCGGGTTCGAGCCTGGGTCATCTCCCTAGCCAGCTGTGGCTTGGATTCCCAGAGCGGTAATGCACAATTGCCTGGAAATTGCCACGGGGAAGGTGGAATGAGCCAGGCAGGTCTCTCGGCAACCCCTGCAGCCTGCCGGGTGCCTACAGGCAGGAGTGGCTGCTGGTGAGAGGCGTCTTGAACCTCGCATTGTCCCCGATCCTGCGGTACAGGGCCGTCTTGCCTGGTGGCGGGTTAGAGGAGCTGGACCGACATGTCCACATTCCCTCCCGTGTGCGGTCACTGGGTTTGAAACTGCAAGCTAAGATGTTAAAAAAAAAAGTTGACCAACTGGGTGAGGACAAAAAAAAATTGCAATGCCAAATGTCTGTTCTTCACACTTGAGCGTTTATGAAACGAAAACGGTGCGTACGGTTCATTTTCAAGCCAAGTGATTCCCCCCGCCATGGATGGAGCTGCTGTTTTTGCCTCACCCTGCCCCCCTGTTTGTTTGCCTCCCGAGCTGGAGAAGACGAGCCAGCAGAAGAAGGAGCAGTCGAAGAGCAAGAGCCGGCGGGCCCGGCGGAGGCACGGCAACCTGCTGCTGGAGTTCAACCGGCGGCAGCGCAAGCACGTGTGGCTGGAGACGCACATCTGGCACGCCAAGCGATTCCACATGGCCCGGGCCTGGGGCTACAGCCTGGGGGACAGGCCGACCTCCAAGTGCTACAGGGCCTGCTACAGGGCGATGAGCGGCCACTGCCTCCTCCAGGTGCGTGCGCGGGCGCGCGGGAACACGGGTTCGAGAGTGGGAAGGCGAGAGGGAGGGGGGCAGTGCTTCAGCCGTCTCGCTCACTTCGACGCTCGGAGCTGGCCGGGGGGAAGTCGGGGGCGGGGGGGGGCGGCACCCACGATGGCTGGGAGAAATACTAAAGGCCAGAAGTTTCTTCCGTTTGTTGTCCTGAGGAAAACGGGATGTTCTGGTGTGCCGTCCTCATTTTCTCTCAAGCTTTGCCCCCCACTTCCTTCATTTTGCTGAATGTGCTCACAGTTTTATGCCATTTTACAACGTTTTCTGATATATGGTGCTCAGATGTCATAAAGGTGAAGAGACACTTCTGGTTCCTGATGCCCACGACCTCCTCCATCTGTTTCTCAAACGAAGCCAGGGAGGGTACTGGCTTCAACATATTGTGGTTTACATGTGCCTCCTTTGCCCCCTCATGACAAACTGTTAGGGCTGCGGCTAAATATTTAACAAGGGCATATAAAAAGACATACAGCATTAGAATTAAACCACAATTGATTTTATCTTTAGTGAACACGTTACCCTGGCAATAGCATCCAGAATATGCACTGGCATACTTTGTACAGATGTTTCATAAGTTCCAAAATGCAAAAGGCACGACAGAAAAAAGTTAAATTGTGCCCTTTGGCGACTGTTTTTCCATCTTTGCGAGATCCAGTCCTAGGTGTGACTGTAGTCCAATTGGAAGATTCACAAAACAGAAAGTAAAAGGCAAATTCTGTTGTTTTGTTGTTCAATCTCATTGATAAAAACCAAACGTGGGCACTATACAAACAGTGTAGATTTGTTTGATGTTTAGACCCCTAGATTTCTATGTTTAAGTGACTTGTTCTTGTCACAGGACCTGTCCTACTATTGCTGTGTGGAAGTGAAGGGAGAGGAGGACACGCTGTTAAGGGCTCTGGCTCGGCTCACCAGTAAGGAGACTGGTGAGTGTCTGAGAGCTACTCTACTTCCACAGGGATTCTGATCCACAATCCTCGCCTTGAACCACTCAAGTCCCAATTGTAATTGTGTCGTTATGACAAATGCCATTCAGTGACGGTGGGCTTGAGATAGATCCCTTATTGATCCTCTGAGGGAAATTGCAGTGCAACAGTGCACAGTGTAGCAAAATAATACAACAATACAATGCATACAAAACCATGAGTACAGTCGATGAGAAGTGCACTAAAAACAAAGTTGCTCACTGTACAGAGTATACAAAAAACAGAACAGTACACAAAAAGTTGTGTTGCACATTGTAAATATAGCAATATATGGAGGCCCTCACAAATGGAATGACAGCCACATGGAGAGCTGCTCCTGATGAAAAGTAGACTTGGGCTATCGTTCTGGCAGTGCTGGTTGCGTGACGCTGGTTCCTCTCCGCAGGACCGACGTTCGGAGCCGCGGTGTTCCTGTCGGGGAGGCGGCAGGGCTCCGTGGTGGTGCACAGAGCGGACCGGTACCCCGCGGAGCCGCTGGGACAGGTCCTGTTCATGTGGAGACCGAAGAGGGGGCCCTGCAGTCCCCGGCAGCTGTGGCTTTGGGTCCATCCCACCCTGAAGCAGGTCTGGAGTTTCCCCAGAGCTGTCGCCTAAGAATCCAACCAGCCTGCCCATCTGGCCGGGCGCGGTCTCCTGACATGAGGAGCGTTCTCGTTTTCAGTGTTTTTGTTTTGGTTTTCCCCCCTGTAACCCACTTGGTGTCCCTGTCTGTTCCAGGACCTGCTGCCGGAGCTGCAGCTCGTGTGCCAGTGCTCGGAGCCGCCGGAGCCCGGGCCGCCTGTGGCCCTGCCCGTCCTGGCACGGGGCTCAGCGGGGGAGGAGCCCGCGGAAGCGCGGGAAGCACAGCGCCCTGGGAAGAAGCGAAAGCGGAGCGGCGCGGAGGGAGAGGCAGTGGTGCCCGTGAAGAAGATCATCGGAGACGGCACTCGGCAGGCCGCGAGCCCGCTTTCCTGGAGATCGGAGGCCACTGGGATTGTCATAAGGTAGCCTTTTCTAGGGTGACGGATCACCTGTGAGGCCTTTTCAGCTAGACTTCGAAAAGGTTGAAGTTTTAACTGCGATGATCCTTCCAGAGGGGTTCATTCATAGAATTAGGAGAACTGTGTGGCTTTTGTGAGCTCCGGCACAGGGGCCACTTGGAAGTGTTTCATCAGACGGTTTCCAGTAGCCCCTGGTATACAACATCAGTTCAGTACCTGATATCAAATTTGAGTTTGCCACCGTATATAGTCCATATATGTCAGATTATTATTCAATCAAAATCATGATCGGCATGGCCAGTGCAATCTTCAGTCGGCATGAAAAAAAATCTTTAGTTTCAAACGCCTACTTATGTCAGATGTTTACATGCGTGCTTTTTTTGGTTTCCAAGTCACAAACTATTTAACCTTGCCCTGCACATGTGATAATCTAGGCTGGTGCATTCTCAGAATCTCGCAAGCATTTTGCAGAACTTGCCCAGTGAGTCTACGATGCTGCCATCCACTTATTACAGAAATATTGTCGCCTTTTAGTGACCTCACCATGGAAATCTTGAGGTTTCGACTCATTGGACCTCTTTCCCACTGCGTTCTCACAGATACCCTGACACCTGCTACTGACTGTGGGGTAAGGAGCCGTTTCCTAAAACTGTCATTGTAACAGAGTTACTGGGTATATCTGAGAATGGGTAAAGTTTGTTCCTTTGGAGGTACATTGGTACGTGTTAACCTTTCATGCTGTAGTAAGATTTTATCACATAAGCTGCCTGCTCACATTTGTGTTGTACTGTCAGAAAAGGATTCTTTTTCTGGCATGCTGGGTTTCTTCTAGTAAGCTAAGACTAGCCGTACAAGGTCCGTGTTGATTGTAATCGGAGTATTTCAAGGGGATTGAGGCAGATGGGGTTTTTTTTCCCCTGTGTCCTCACAATGGACCCAAGACAGGTTTCCATTTTTTCCAGCCGGAAGGCATGACCGAAACATCTCACCTCTGGTGGCCTGAGCAGTGCAAGGATGGAGACAACCTCTCACTCCACCATCGCCAAGCAGACATCTTTCGGCAGCTGAAAGGTTGGTCTCTCTTGTCTTTCTTGCGTATTGTTTTCCATTGTTGTCTGAAGCCTTTTTTTAAGTGGCTGCTTGGGGAAGCAAGGCTGTGCTGTCTAAGGGTTACCTTACCTCTTTTTCACCTCTTTATCCAGGAATGCAGGTGGGCTCTCGACATTTCTAAACACTACGCTGATGCACTTTGGACTCTCAAACAAAATAGTGCATTTCCCAGATCTCCCAATACGCATATCAGGAAGCGATCATACCAGTCGATCACACTGCTGGATTTTAATTTCGGGTTTCTGAATTTAACTTGACCTCCAATATCTCAATTGACAGAAAGACACCGTCTCAGGTCAGCAGCCTGCTAGCCATGTACGCAACCTGGGGCCGCAAGATCAGAAATAAAGAACAGGAACATGATCATGCAGCTGTTTGTTTTAGTAATTATTCTCGGGTGTTCCAAGTGCTTACTTCAGTAAATCTGTCCCTTTGCGTTCATGTGGTTGATAATGCCCTGTTTCTGGAGCACGTTGGGTTATGTGCCAAAGTGAAAAGATGGCGTTTCAGCTCGTTTGGCTTCACAACTGCCTGAAATGCATGTGGATATTCCTTCCAGGGGTCTGCTTTTCTGGGGAGATCCCAGCAGGCACTATTCTTGGACTCGCTGTTGATGACCCCAGGCTGACTTTACCAACCAGGAGGAGCAAAACATTGCCAGATCTCAAGCAGATGCAAGGTACCCCCGAGAGACTAGGCCGCCCGAAAGACGGCCTCGATTTCTTCAAGTATCGGCACACGCGCTTGGGAGACTTTGCGTTCGTAAAGCAGCCATTCCCATCCCATAGCGTTTTCAGTCGACCAATCAGTTGATTAGTAGTGACATTAATGTAAAACACTGAAGGTTTCTGTTGGAGAAATTTTCCCGCTTCCCGTCTCGGAAGTTAAAAGTTTTTATTTCATGCGGGCGGGAGCGGAACATAGAGAGATGCTCAGTGTATTTTCCTCAAAGTAATTAAACTTGAACAGCCCTTAAATAGTTTTTCAGTGATGCGTTATGCTAGTGTCTCTTGTGTCCAGCGTTCTTCTGTTCCAGTTCCGTTTGTCCATTATACAATACTGCAGCTACAGCAGGAAAAGTACGTCCAATGTTCACAGAGATCCATCCAACATGTCTGTCACGAGCGTGGTATCAGCATGTTTCCGCTGGCCTTGTGCTCCTGGGGAGCCTCTGCTTGTCCGTGCAGATGATCCAGGTTCGAATCCTGGCAAGACCCACAAGGTGCTGTGCTTGGACCACGCCTCGGCTCCAGGTTTAGCTTTGTCATCGTGCTGCTTATTCAAGTTTCATCTCTGTACTCTTGTATGATACTTGGCACCGTTTATTATGATGGCACAGTGTCGTATAATCTTTTTTGTACAAAATGCTGCTCAAGGCAGTTAGCTTTTAACCTCTTCAGACAGTACTTAACCCAAGACCTAGAATTCCCATCTTCTTTTTGCTTTTGTAATTTTAAATAACCATGCATAAAATACAAAACTCATTACAGAAAATGCAACTCTATTTGTGTAGTGCCCTTCCAGCAAAGGCATCTCAGGTTGCTTTGCCAGATTAAAATGGGCACGAGTGAGCAAAAAACACCCCATGTATTGTTAAAAACATTCAGGGTTTCAGCATCGCTGATGTCGACTGTCTGAGGTGTTGATGTATTCTGTCTGAATTAGAAAGAGAAGTGTTTCCATTATCATTCAGTAGAATTCCTTCTTCAGTCAATGCACTTATTCCACTTAAGTCCTGTTAATGATCGCACCAGTGCGCCCAGATCTGGATAACCTAAGGCACCCAAGTGCAGTTATTGATTCAAGATGGGTATCAACACACAGCCTTCTCAATAGCCTCACCCTGGCAGGGAGGGAATGCTGAGCCACTGCAGGCATGTCCAGGATTGGAGATTGTGGTTTAATTACTCCAAGTGCTTCTGCTATTGAGGGAGCCCATGGGCCCATCGCCCATTGCAGAGTGAGAGTGCTGGTACCATCCTTGCTGCTGGTGAGACAGAGGTCTGTTTTTCGTCCCTCGGTCTTCCAGGGGGAGGGGAGGAGACAAGATTGCTGACCCTTCAGGGAGTCCCGGCAGAATGCTGCGAGAGCCCCTTGTGGGAGCAAGCTGTCCGGCACAATGTCACGGAAAATAAAATTCCGGAACAGGTATTTCTGCATCCGCCTTGGGTGCATGTGCTCAACTTTCTGTATATGATAGTATATTGAGTTTTTTTTTTCCAATCTGTTACTAATAATGTTTATGCTCTAGTTATTATTAACTTAATAAAGTTAATAATGCAAAGAAATAATGGTAATGAAAGAAAAAGAATATTAAACTTTATAGACTTAAATGCCTTTTTTCCCCATTTTCAGTGGCTAAGAGATCTAAGAATGCATATTAAAGCAACTTACACTGGACCATTTTATATTTTAGTTTATATCTAACCTGTCAAAGATAAGACTGCATGAGTTGCCTGTAAATACTTCAGTTTCTTCTTGAACGTCACTGCTGATCAGGACCAGATAAGGCAGGGAAACAGGCCCTGCAGGTGTGTGGTGGGGTACAGAAAGGGCAGGAGGTCGATGCCCTGGTTCTGGCTGGCCCTGACCGCTGTGTTTGCAGGAACTGAACCGTATGAGGAGTGAGCTTCTGGTCCCGGCGTCCCAGCTGAGCCCCACTCCCCCTCAGTCCAGGGTCCCGGTCCTGCTTGTGCATCAGCCGGGGAAGCAGGTCGGAGAGGAGAAGTCATCCTGGGGTACGGGGTGGGACCTTCTGCTCCCCAAAGGCTGGGGCATGGCTTTCTGGATACCTCTGGTACGTGCAGCTGGTGAAGGGGTCTGATCCCGTGCCCGTTGGCCGTTTGTCACGGTGCGTGTGAAGAGAGTTCTCCGAGCATGAATATAGCAGCTCCACAACGGATGCAAAGCACTGTCTGTCACCTGTGCTTGTGCCATGTGGTCCGTTTCAGGTTTTCTTAACGGACTGTAGCAAGTCCAGCATCAAAACCCTTCTCAACAGCTCCGCGTCCGTTCTTGCCTTTGGATACTTCATGTAACGGCATTAGTTTTTAACCAGTTTGTTTAAACCGACCTTTAACGCCTCTTCACATTCAAAATCTGTGATACATGGAAGCAATGTGCTGCTACTGAACTAGCAGACAGGCTTTCAGTGTGTTTTCAATTGCCTTTGCAAAACCTGGGGTTTTTGAATATGACAGACTATTGTTTCGGGGGGGGAATGTTTTTTTGTAAAATAAGGGAAATATACATTTGAAAAAAAATGGGGGCCATTAAACCTTCATTTATTGTACTCTTGACTTAATCCTGCTTTTTATTCTCAAGAAGATTTCCTGAGCTGTCGAAGTAAGAATAGGATTTTGTTCAGCAACATTCCTGAAGGAGTTTGGGATTGATGGGGAAAGTGTGTGAGGTGGTGTTGTAGAACAGCAACCCTTTTACTCAGGGGGCCGTGTAGTCTGTGTAGTCATGGTGGTGTCGTCTACCATGAGCTTTGTAATGTGGCAGGTGGCACAGTGACTAGAGAGCTCTCCAAGTGGAGCCTGGACATCTAACGTCTCCTCATAGCAGGTGTTGAAAGACCGATGTACAGTAGTTACTGCCCCTGTGTGAAGCCCCGTCTGGGCCTTCCCTGTAACCCCCTGTGAACTGGAGCGCCGCGTCTCCCTCTCAGATATTCCGCGGCGTCCGTGTTGGGGGCCTGCAGGAGGCGCTGAAGCACTCCCAGAACAAAGGGGCTCCGCACTTCCCAGGCGACTTCCCAGACTGCCCTGCCGGCGCCCGATTCCTGCGGGAACAGGAGACGCAGCTCGTGGACCACTACAGGAGGTAGATAGTCACATCCATCCCTGGCTACTGTGGATCACGTGGCTTCAGCCGGCAGATTTCCTGTGCTGAATCGTTTGCGGGTGTAGAGACCAGTTTGCCTACGTGCTCGGAAGAGGAGCTGTCTAGTTGTCGTTCGTTTCAAAATAATGATAGAATTTTCACTTTCAAAGTTTAAGAATCAAATGAAAGAACCAGATGATGATGATGATGTTGCTGTTATTTTTATTAAAAGACCTGAAGGCATCGGTTTCCGCAGTTCGGAAGACATTTGTTGTTGAGGTTTTTTTCACGACATTCATTTTGCTCTAAAAGCTGAAAAGGTTTAGCTAGATGAACTGCACACTACTTATTTAACAGTGGGGGGGAAATGTTTTTTTTTTTTCCCCAGCAAAATGCTGGCAAGTTTTTCACACACCCAACGGAGTTCTAGAAGCAGGCGACACATGTCTGGAAATGTCGTGAGCTGTGAGAGGCCCTAAATCTTGCGTTCTGTTCCATGTAGGCGTCCCCCTGCCAAGAGGCCCAACTACATCAAACACGGCTGCCTTGCGCCCTTCCGCTGCCCCTGGCAACAGCTGGCGGAGGAGTGGGAAATGATCGTGAAAGAGGCCGCGGAAGAGGAGCTCCCTGCCTCGGAGGGCCACGCCGGACCTGCTCCCGAGGCTCCGGGCCCTGAAGAGCACCGTTCCCAAGCTGCAGGCAGAGGGGAGGGATCGGCACCGCGGCCAGAGTTTCCAGGAGGCCCGGAGTGTGGCAGCACTAGTGCTCTGAGCGACGCTGCGGTGGCGGTGGCTAAGTTCAAGGTCCTGAGGTTGGTGGGATTACGATTACGGACAACTGGAGACTTGTTACCATCAGAATTATGTTTAATGAGTAATGAAAGGGAGCGGCACAGTGTCGCGGTGGTGAGCATTGCTGCCTCGCAGCGCTAGGGCCCTGGGTGCAGTTCCTGGGGTGCTGTCTGTGTGGAGTCTGCATGTTCTCCCTGCGTTTGTGTCGGTTTCCTCCGGGTGCTCTGGTATCCTCCTACAGTCCAGACATGCTGGTAGGTTAATTGGCATCTAGGTAAACTGGCCCTGCTGTGAGTGTGTGCGTATCTGTGTGTATCTGCCCAGCAACGGACTGGCGTCCCGTCCAGGGTGTACCCTGCCTGCCTGGACTTGCCAGGATAGACCCCAGTTCTCCCGTGACCCTGAATCCGATAAAGGGCTTAGAAGACGGATGGATGGAATGAGTTCATTGGCAATACTGCAATGCCCGTGATGCTGCACCAGCATCAACATCGCCTTCTAGACTCCGGTGATCGGTATTGTTCTTCCCGCAGTGCCCTGTCTTGTCCTCTCTCAGGCACACATATCCCATCTTCTCCTGTTCTTTCCCCCAGCGCCCGCTAACCTTCATCCCACTTCTCGCTGCGTTGCGGCTCAGTTGTGTGAGAGAGACTCTGTGTTCGAATAGAGACATCCCTTAGATGACTCATGGTGGGTGATTGTGTTTATTGCAGGGGTACACAAACAGTCCTAGTGAGCTGGTCTTACAAATCCCCCTTTATCTCCAGCCCCTGAACGTGCTGGAGTGGGGGAAGGGAGTAATGTTGGGCCCGTCAAGGGATTTAAGTCAATAATGTAGTCTGGAGCTCTAGTGAAATGAAAGCACTATAAGACACTACTTACAGTCTTACAGGCCTGGAGTGGTGGTTGCGCAGCAGGCAAATGTTCTGAATGCAGACCTGCTTTTCTTTTGCGTGTTGAAGGTTGTAATTTAATTTTAACGAGACCTCCTTACTCTTGACAGGAATTATTTCAACATTTTTTCTGCACCGATGTTATGTAACCTTGAAATTAGACACATTCCGTGTACAAAATGGACAAACTGTGCCGATAATTACTGTTCAGTTCAGGTCTGCTCTGTTGGGGCTATGCTTCATTCATTTTAAAACGAAATCACTGCTATTATGCATCATGGCTGCATAAACCAAAACTATAAGAGACTCAGCTGGGGATGTTTTTAGTATAAATGCTTATTTTAACAAGGTTACTTATCAAACACCAGCCAATTGCTGATGGAATAAGGGCACTGGCATGGTTTTTATTCACAGTGGATATTTAGTAAAATCCACTACAGTCTGCATTAGGTGGGTTAATTTATTTTCCAAGTCAAGATATTCCACATCGACATAAAAGCAAGAAATTATTGAATAGTAAGAATTTTTCGGGAGTAATTAGACATCACCGTGCATGTCAGGGTAATTAAGGGCACCCTGTGCTTTAGTTTGAAAAGAGATCTGCTGTGATTGCCTTCGTCTGGGGGAGATCTTGTCTGTGAAAGTTATGCTAAAGTGACAGCCCTGGGCTAAGAATGCAGTTTAGCCGATTCTCAGCCAGGGAAATGAGAATAACGATATAGGCCAGGGTATGGAGATAAACTCCTTCTTTGTGCCATACTAGTAAATATTCAAGAGGACTGAATTTGTCATGCCTTATTTGGCATTCTATTCCATATGCTGTACTTTCCACATTCATAAACATGTTTGTAATCCCAGCCTCAGACAGAGATAAACATATCGCAGGGAGCAGAATGAAATGGGGAAATGAAAAACGCAAGAGCCTGTCACGCGTACTAAAAACGTTACCTTGCATTTCTTCGTAAACGGAGCATCTGAAAAAATGAATGCAGGACCTTTTCAGAATAAACAGCTGAACCAGAGCAGAGCTCATGGGTAGAAGCTATGTGGACGTGCATTTAAAGGCAAGAGCAGTAGGCTCTTCTTTACCGAAAGGTGAGAGGGGATATGGCACAAGCTACTCTGGTCATTTTGCTGGGCCTGTACCTGGGCTTTTTTCAATGAACTACTGCTAACTGAGCAAGATGGGGAGAGTGGTCTCTTCTCGTTTGTAATCGCTCTCATCGTGGTCCATATTAACAGACTGTATTGCCCAGAGCTTTATTGTAATTTCGCACCCGCCGCGGGGGGCTAGTGTACAGGTGACCCCATCTGGCCCGAGCGCGAGACAGCTCTGTTGTGTTTGTGTTGCCCCAGGAGCAGGAAGGCGCTGCGGCGGGTGTCAGCCTGGTGCAGGCCCACCTCGGCGAGAGGTCAGAGGCTGCGGGGGCGTGCGCCGGCCCCCGCGCAGGAGCAGGAGCAGCAGCTGACCCCCGCGGTCGTGGCCTCCGTCTGCGAGACCCACGGCAGGAGTCTGGTCTGGACGAGGCTGTCCCTGCTGAGGAAGGGCCGCCCCACGCTGCACGCCATGATCTGCATCCCTGCCCCCGAGGACATCCAGCTGCTGCGCGTGGACCCGGCCTACAGCGGGCCACAGGAGCCCCGGCACAAGGACCACTTCAGGCACCGGCGGGGCAGGAGGAGGCAGGAGGAGGGGGAGGGGCCCGAGGAAGGCGGCGGTACTCCCGAACGCCTCGGCCAGGCGCCAGCGGCCGGCTCCCCAGAGCCCCCCGCCGCGGGCCTGTGGCCTGAGCCCCTGCCCAGCGTGACCTCGCACTGCTCCCGGGTGCTGCTGGGGTTCGTCACGCAAGGGGACTTCTCCCTGGCGGCGGGCTGCGGGGAGGCCCTGGGCTTCGTCAGCCTGGCCGGGCTGCTGCACATGCTCTCGGGGCAGCCCGCCGGCTCCAGGGGCCTGGTGCTGGTGAGGGGCGCCGCCTCGCTGCAGTACCGCTTCGCCAAGATCGACGTTGAGGTGTGACCGGCGCTCGGTGTCTGCCTCCCTGGGGAGAGACCAGAACACAGGGACAAGGCGACGGCCGGTATCCCCGCTGGATGGACACGACACCAAAGGCAAAAACATTAAACCGACCCAGAAGACAATTCCCGAAGGTGGCAAACACCGAGGAAGCAGGAGGTGTAGGCTAGGCAGGAGGGTTGAATGAGAATTAAAGTGCGTTTCTGTGCGAGACAGAATTATCTTGTGGCCCGCAGAAGAGTTCGCGAGGTGTGTTCAAAGTCCACGTGCCAGGAGATGGACATTTCAGTTATGAAAATCGTTTCACAGTTTTGTTTATAGCTAAAATTGAATGTCGCCTTATCCGCAATAAAATAACCCTCACTGCCACCAAGGTGTGTAAATTTAAGATGATTTTTTCCAACTACGGTTTCATTTTCTTTGGTAGATGCTTGTCGGTTCTGCAGGTTGTGCCTTTTTTGGTCGATATGCTTTACGGCGGTTTTAGAGGTATTTTAAACGCAGAACGCTGGGATCCAGCAACGTTGTTCCATGACATACGGTTACAAACTGTTCCGCAGATTTTTATATAGCCTTCCTTCAGACATAATTTCATGGTTTATGAACGTGTGTGTAGGTGTTTGTCAGGAAAATCCTGTTGCCTAGCAACGGTAGAAAAGAAGGCACCTCATTGAGACCAACTACGTATACTGTGTGCGAGCAGCTTGGATTTTGTTTGAACAATAGAAGGTAACTTGCCAGACTGTAAAATATATCTATACATGCACAAAGAATCTTAAAGTCAGGATGATCCAAAAAAATGAAACGGATACTGCAGGCTAGGTCTACAGTATTTGACACTACAGGTTTTAAAATCGATAGCCGATATGTTCAGACCTGCCAGCACGTCAACACAGAGGTCACCCTTGTTGAAGGGTGGACAGTTTCAGCATGTCTTCATGGTTGTTACTTTGTCGGTCAGTGTTTAAAAGCTCAGAAGAAAAGTCCTTGCTTATTTCCAGTTTTAAAAGGTAAGCCGAGTTAGTTGTCTGGCTAGACGTATCGGTCACTCAGTGGCTTTGATTTCTAACCCTGGTTTGTTCCTGGCTCTAAGTCTTAGTGAGTTGCTTGTGGTGACAGAAAACTGCATACATTTGTGTTTTCTGCAGGTCCTCCTTTTGAATTTTCATTTTTAAGATCTTTTTTTTTATAATACAGTTTGAATTAAATGCAGTAATGCAAAGGTTACTGGTCTGTTTGTAATAATACAAAGTAAGTGCATACTTTCAGTTTCAGTTTCCTGATCTTTATAGAGGGATTTTTATCTTGAAGCTTTACAGGGATGAGAGGGAGGCAGCCCCACTGACCCCTATCACCAGCTCAGGTGAAGAAGTGAGAAATTGCCTCTCCAATTGAATTAAAGGGGGGACTTGTGGCCAGCCCGCAATGGAATTGAGCCAAGACACCAGGGCTATTTTCAAAAATATTATGGAAACCCAGTACGGATCAGGACCAAGCCTTGCTGACGAGATCAGGCTACATGCATTATGGTAATTTCTCAGTCTTACAGAAGGAGAGGTATATTTGTTTTTGCTTCAGCCCCTGCTACGATCTCCTCCTGAGCTGCAGTTCCTGCAAGAGCTGTGCTTTGTGAGCATGCAGCCCTGTCATTCTTTCATCCGCCACTAGGTGGCAGTCCAACCTTTTCATTGCGTGATTAAAACACGATGCGTTTTAGAGAAAACTACCAGGCGGCAGCGCGGCGCTCCTTCAGCGCAAGTGGCGCCGTGATGTGATGAAAATAATACATATTAGACCATAAACTACCTATCCCATGCCTTCGAGTTCGTAAGTGTCGTACGGTTTCCACATGTGACCGCTGCGTGATCATAGCTGAGTATCTTCAGGAGGACTTACCACCTTGTTTTTTGAAAACAGGATTTTATCGTCTCTGTAGAGATCACCTGCACAGAATGCTCCATATTTTTATATCGATTCGTCCCCCCAGTTCCCACTGCCAGTAATATAACTGAGAGTAACAGTTATTACGTGTTGTAACATTATCACAGCCTAGTCCTCGTGTTAAGCAGCAGGCCAGGCGAAGCAAAAGAAAGCTATCGCAAGCATATCTCTTAAGCACCCCCTCCATTGTGAATTGCTACAACTCAGACAAGGTGGACGCCTTATCAAACGTGACCTCCAAAACCCTCGTGTAACGCAGCGCCCGAAGTGACAACTATCTTAGAGCAGGGGTGTAACCCCGGTGTCCTGGCCACATTTCCCATTGGCCCTTACCAGTCATGGCCTCCTAATAATCCCCATCTATGAATTGGCTTCATTACTCTGCTCTCCTCCCCACTGATAGCTGGTGTGTGGGGAGCGTTCTGGCGCACTATGGCTGCCGTCGCATCACCCAGGTGGGGCTGCACATTGGTGGTGGTGGAGGGGAGTCCCCATTACCCGTAAAGCGCTTTGAGTGGAGTGTCCAGAAAAGCGCTATATAAGTGTAAGCAATTATTATTATTATTTTATTATTATTATTATCTGACCATGCAAGTCGAGTCACCTATCTGATCCTGACTGTGCAGGAAATTCCCATTGGGGGGTGGGTGTTGAAATTTCTTGCAGGAAAAGACGGGAGGAACGTGCTGCGCGTTAGTGGGTGGGCTCCATGGCAACCCTCGTGCGGCCAAACGGAGTGACACCGAGCACACGCGCATTTCTGAGCCCCTTCGCTTAAACAAACCCCCAGGGGCTGTGAAAAGTAGGAAAACGCAAGCATAAAAATAGCTTTCAGGTTGTTAAATTATGAAGCGTGGTTGGCCACGTCTTTCCAACTTGTATTTCAAGCACAAATCTAAAAAAAAAAAAACCCCGTAGTTGTTACTCTGCAACCCAGAGTGGAAGATGCTAAAAATGCTGAGGCGGTCAGAGCCCATGAATATCTACCTACCGCGACACGACATCGGGGCGTCCTGTAAGGGGACAACTCTTAAGACGTCTTTGTTCGACGATGACAGCGCAGTGGAAGGGAAGCTCGCACCTCACCGGGGGTCCAGGCCTGTGCGATCTGAGGTCATCGCCACACACTGTACCTAAAGCCATGCATTCCTGGCAAGGCTGTAAATTCCAGCACCCAAGTACATAAGATGACCAAAAGCTAAATTAGTTTGGCTTTACGCGTCTGCATTCGAACATTAATGACGCAGAACATGAATACAAATTAACACAAACGTCTGGAGACAAATACCAGGTTTTGCCACAACTCGGTGATGATCGGATTCTCCTTTTCCCTTGTATTATCGGTTTGATTTGTGTTAGAGCGTCTACTACATTTGCGGTAAAGAATAACGGTTATAACCGTTGTGAAATGTCCAGTTCCACTTGTGACAAATGCACAAATTGCCCTCCCCCAGACAAGAGTTACTAGCTTCATCTCGAGTCTGACCGTGCACTCCGCACACACCCTAACGATAATGCAACGCAACAAATTTGATTTACACATATAATCCGAATTATGGACCGCATTAAAAAGCAAAACACTAAATACAACCCCGACTCGGCTTTCATAAAGAGGTTGATCCGTTGGGCACGTCTGCAGGGGCCTTCGCCGGTATAATTGGGTTTTTCTCGACGGCATTTGTGTTTGCTGAGGCATACAGGGGGTGTGCTGGACCCTGCGACCTGCATTCTAATACAGCGTTCAGGGCGACTCGCTGTCCTACGGGACGTGCCTCTCCTTTTCAATTCAAGATGTTTTATTGCCATGACCGATGAGGACAATCGGTGTTGCCAAAGCAAATAAAATTAACTTGAAACAAAAAAAAAATAAAATTAAAATCTACCGACATTTACAATAAAGACAATCATAAAATAATTTACATATCCTGTAAACGTATGGAGCATTATAGGGCGACAGACTCACTTGTTCCTCAGGCTGTGACAGGAGATCACATACTGGACTGCCAGTTCCACTGTGGGAACTCTGGGATTAGATGTCGGAATTTCGGGAAGAATGTTTCTCTAATCCCAGAGTATCTGTCACAGTGCAGTAGAAAGTGCACCTCTCTCTCTCTCCTCCTTCAGGTCCCAGGAGATAAACGCCGTTTAAGTCCGAGCCTTTCTGCTGAAATGCCAAAGCCGGCAGTGTACCCTCCTCACTTTAATCGACACATGAAAAGCACGCTTTTCCGTCGCATTCCGATTGAGACACTCGCCTCGTTGGACTTGTATACCCCCTTCACATGAATATTTTTTGGGTAGAGTTTTACAGTTATTAATTTGTTTGCCCAATATGTTTATCCAAAAGACGATTACTGGGGTTAGAACAGTCTACTTTTTTTAAATCATAAAGATATTTTTTATGCCCGTTCACTAGGAATAAGACCTCCCAGGAATTAAGCAGCTTGAAAAGGTTTGAGGAGTGTTTCAGTCAATAAAACCTGGTTTAACCCGCTTCGCTGAGGGCTGACCTCCTGGCCAGAGGAAATAAAGAAACACAACGTTTCGGCTGTGGAGCCTTCTACGGGTCTGGCTTCTTGACACCTTCTTGACTCCCGAAGAAGGCTCCACAGCCGAAACGTGTTTTCTTTCGTCTCTTTTCAGCATGAAATAAACCTATTACTTGTTCCATACAAATATACATACATGTCTAACTACTTCAATTAAGTGACACACAAATCTCTTATGCGAAGTCCAGATGAAATCTGAAGTTCGTGGGACTGCAGGTGCTTTATTCGGAACTGGAGGCGTGTCGCGCCCTAGCTACATCATGGCCATCAGCTGCAAGCAAGAAGTTGTTGAGGCAGAACTAAACTAGCGTGGCGGAAAAAAGAAGGGTCTTCGGAAAAGGTACGTCGTAAAAACCAGGAGCGAAGAAGAAACGGACACGGGTGGTGAGATCTCGACGACGACAAGGATTGCTGGCGTTGAGCCACCTGAAGGTAGCGATAACATTAGCGACAACGGCGATTAGTAGTGCTGTTCGGTTGTGTGTGTCTGCGCAGGCCAGTTAGGTACCGTAGCTGTTTCATCACCTCCCCGCCACTACACACAAGACCCACCCTCGCTCACCCCTTCAGACGGCCCTGGCTGTAGAGGTGGAGGAGGGATGCAAACAAAGATATTCGTGAGGGAGAGAATATGCCTATGTCTTTGTTGTAAATGTCTGTAGATTTTATTTTACTTCTATTTTTTGTCTTGTTCCATGTTAATTTTATTATTTTTATTTGCTTTGGCAACACTGATTGTACCCATCGGTCATGCTAATAAAGCACCTTGAATTGAATTGAGAAGGGGGATCACCTACAGTATTGATGTTTTAGAGGAGAGGAAATGACGTTAGGAGTGATTGGTAATTACGGACAGCTGAGTTCAAGTGAACAGGGCTGTCGTCATCCCTCCTGAGCTTTCGCTATAAACGCCAGCATGTAATGCACCTTGCTCAAACATGCTCTTGCACTGTCCAGAGCTCGAACCCCTACTCCACATCTTTGGCGTGTCAAGGGGGTGAACTATCATACTCAGAGCTGACATGTCAAAGCGAAACGCAGCATTGTCAACTGAAGGATGAGAACATTACCCGTCGCTTAAACCTGGGGAACCCGTCAGTGGCACCAGCAGTTAATTACAGCTGTTATTTCTTTCCGCCGTCTTTGCAGATATGTCAGAGATGTCTCGTCCTCGCACTCTGACCTACATAGAAACCGAAGTACAACAATTTCCACCCATCCATTTTCTAACCGCTTTATCCAATGCGGGGTCACGGCGGACCTGGAGTCTATCCCAGCAAGCATCGGGCGCAAGGCAGCCAGCCCATAGCAGAGCACACACCCGTTTTCCCAGAAGCCCATTAACCTACCAGTATGTCTGTGAACCGTGTTGGGAAACCCACACAAACACGGGGAGATCATTCAAACGCTGCGAGGCAGCAATGCGCCCTTACCGTCTGACGATTGCCCTCAAAGGAATATTTAAATAATCTTAACAATATAGACATATATAAACCCCAAACGACAATTTTGCAAATATTTTCCTTTTATTTACATGACCAACGAATAGGTTCTTAAGATACCTGATAAATTATCACGCAGGTTAATTCGTAAAAGTCTTTTGCATATTTTTTTTATTAATCTTCACCAGAGTGTACCCCACAGTTGATATATGGGCTCTTGCCCTCCCTTCGTTCTGACTCACTGAAATACATCCTGGTCTCACAGCAGGACGCCCCATCACCCTGAATACTGAGTTACATGTTGTTGTTTTTTTAAGCCACCAGTCACATTCACCTTCGGCAGACTGCCCTTTAAATAATTTTAAATATTCCTTTTCGCCACATCTGTCCGGATTCTTACGGTCTTGTAAACATTCACTCTGCTCCACTGCTGCTGGAAATGAAACAAAGCTTTCTGGGTTTTTTTTTTAAATCAACGGGTCTCCCAATTGGCACCAGTTTTCCTCCTCCGGTACTGGAAGGGAGAAAAAATCCATCCCTTTCGTGAGAGGCACTTCTTCGGTCTGTTTCATAGCTGGGAAAAGACTTCATTCCTCGTGTAAAACTCCGAAGACACGAAGGAAGTGGCTCTGGCCCGCTGGGAAACGGAGCCAGATTTATTTGGAGTCCCCCGTCTGATCATCTTTCTTCTCTAAAGGCATCATTTCGGCATCCAGGGCCCCGTAGGATGTACCTCCGGTCTCCGGCTGGATCTTATCCGTGGATGTTTTCCCTGTGAGGTGTTAAAGCAGAAGCGAACAACTGCAATAACGAGTTGCTGGTGTTTTTCAGTACACAGATTTATCGTCTTCATGAGAAATATCACGAAAGGGGGAACAACGTCATCTGAGCAAGTCAAATAGAGGTTACACTTTAAAATGTTAACTGTGCAGTATTTACTAAATTGTCCATTTTTCCATTTGTGAACGCAGTCCCGAATTGAACACTGGAAGAACCACATTTTATACTATTTCCAGCACACCCAGCGTGTACTTTAAAGAAATAACACGGTTTCCCCTCAGATGTTGCATGGGGTGAAATAATGGGGTACCTCATTACAACGAACGTAAGGAGGACGCGACCTAAAAAATCTGACAAAAACTGGTTTAACATGCTCTGTCTCTGAACTGGCCTCATCACTCTGCTCTCCTCCCCACTGGGAGCTGGTATGTGGGGAGCGTTCTGGCGCACTATGGCTGCTGCTGCATCATCCAGGTGGGGCTACACACTGGTGGTGGTGGAGGGGAGACCCCATTAACCATAAAGCCCTTTGAGTAGAGTGTCCCAAAAAGTGTTGTGAATCTGTACCTCTTATTATTCATAGTTGTATTATTATGGAGAATTATACTACTTCTTCAAGTACATATCCAAGTCCTCAGTTACTCATTTAGCACCTACTCCCATATACAATATGTACCTACCAGGTACTTGCCCGATGTCAATGAAAGGATGCTCCGTTTTAGATTCTGGTCTGTTTCTGGCAATCAGAAACACTCCAAGGAACGACAGCAGGCACCTGCGTTGGGCACACACAAGAAGGTGAAAAGTGTCAAACGCACACACCCAGCTCAAGGCTACACAGCTCTGCCGGTCTTTGAGTACCGACGCCTGAAAACTGCAGGGCTTCTGCAGAGGTCAGCAGACCATCATGACCATTGCCTGCTTCTGCTGCTTCACATTAAAACAAAGTGTTACCTTTAAGTAAATATGCAGCGGAATGGCATTCAAATGTGCACACTAACTCATGACTCAATGGTGGCCTATTCCACATATCAATTTGGGAATATAGTGTGGATGTAGAATATAGGTCCGGTATGTCACACCTTCTCCCCTCGCTGGTGCCGGGAGTCAGGCAGAGGCCTGTAAATTCTGATGTTGATCCCCACAGGGACTTTGCATGTGCTAATTTGCAGTTTAAAAAAAAACCCTCCAAGATGTCAGAGAGTTGGTTTTGTTCCCAGGTGATTATTATTAGTTTTGTAATCCAAACTGCTTTGGAGCTTCCCCAATAGAGCAGGTGAAATTCTTTCAGCATGAATATTGTTAAGATGAAGGAATTTCAACTCTTCTTCGTTTAATCTGCTTTGATGGGGGGAGGCCAGAACCAAAGAAACGACACCAATATACAGTTCAGGACATTTAAGATCGTCGCAGCCTAATTGTACGCTTCAAAGCATTTCGGTGACACCAAGCCTGTCCCCTGAGTTAGGACAGACACTCCCCTTGTGCAACACAAAGGAGGAGGGCCTGTACTGATGCACAGTACTGTATTCTGGAGCACAGTGTCCTTGTGGAAGCACCGCATCACGTGACAATATTGTACGTCACCCCTGGGGCGGAGCGGTGGCACTGTGGCTAAGGATTTGCGCCTGTGGCTGGAAGTTTGCCGGTTTGAATCCTACTCCCTTGGGCCCCTGAGCAAGGCCCTTTACCCCAGCTGCTCCGGGGGGGCTGTATAAATGGCCGACCCTGCGCTCTGACCCCAAGCTTCTCTCCCTGTCTGTGTGTCTCATGGAGAGCAAGCTGGGTATGCGAAAAAATTTGTATACGGACACGAAAGTGATCTTAACGGTTATTGGGGGGAAAAAAAGAGGGTAAAACCTTTTTCATTTCAGGGATCAGGTCCCACTGAACAGCATTTACACAGGCTACAAAAACCCAGCTTTTGGTATCAAAGCCAGTCCGGTGATGTGCCTGATGCGTGTGAGGGAAATGAAGGTACTGTACAGAGCCTGAGGTCAATAATCAACACACTGCATTCTGATACAGAGCTACTGTATACAGACAAATGAATAGAATTATAGTAAATTACAAAGGAGGATATTGTTACGGCTAGAAACGTCAATCTCTACAATCCAGCAGCAGCTGCCTAAATCATGGGGCTCCGACCCCATGTGAAAAAAGAACTGGAGCTTGCCTTCGGTACTTAAGAAGCTTATAATACAAATTCCCCACTGTGTCACATTCAGATAAACACATTTTGTTTACCCCTTTATCTTTATTGACAGAACACATTTGCCATTAGTGTAGCCTAAAAGGGGTAAGACGTTTGTAGTGGTGTCCCGGATGGCACTGCTGGGTACACATACAGTATGTAACAGAAACACTCAGACAAACACAATGACCGTGGCAAAGAAAAAACGACAGCTCAAAAGCCGCAGTGATCTACAGGCCGAATTGAAATGAGCAACAAGGCACATGAAGAAACCCTACGGCACAGTAAATTAAATATGTCCCGAGTTCATTTGCTTTTAATTTCCTTTAGTTGCATAATGAAACAGAAACCAGAGGGAACAAGAGGAAACTACATGGAAGGGTGTTTAAAAATGAGAACAAGAGGCACTTATTCACAACAAGCTATCCAGCCATATACTGTAGCTGAAGCCAAAGTCTGGATTTTGTCAAGAAACATCTGGATGAGATCCTTGGATCAATTCGTTACCAAATGCGTCAAGAGGTGCCAAGTGGGCACCAGGTGCATGGAACCATTCTTCCATCAATAATACTGTTACAGCTGTAGGTAACTATGGATGTCTCAAAGAATCCAGAACAACAGGTAATGCCTATCTGGTGTCAACATTTCCAGCTTCAAAGCAGAGGGGATGTTTGCTGAGATGTAGGGAGTCCAGATTCAGTGATCAAAGCAATCATAAAGTTTACCTTGGTTTACCTTAATCAATTAAGTTCTGTGTAAATGATTATGAGTCAATCAACAGTCCAGAAAGATGCCGTATAAGGTCAGATCAACAGAAAAGTAGAACAGACCACAACAGAGAAAGAGCGTCCTTGTTCAAGTTCAGCCGAAAAGAACACATTCGATCACTGTATCTGAACCTTGCTAAGAGAGCTTGCTATTCTGTAGTTTTTAGGGAACTTGATTTCCTGAGTGAAGAAGCCCTCGGTTAAAAACAGCCTCTCCTGCCTAGCGGGTGCATTTCAGAGTAGGGAGATAGGTTTGCAGTTATTTTGTGGCATTTCGGTTTGCAGAATTGTCCGGTTTGAGAAATTTAACAGCCGGTACTATTCTACTTATTCTAGGAGGCAGCTTATCTTTTTTTTTTGGCTTCTCTAGGCAGCATTTAAGAGTCAAATACTTTATAGCAGTCTGGGGGTTTTCTGGGTGGTCTAGATGTAGGCCTCTGAAATGCCTTGTCTGTAAACATGTAAATAGAGAAACCTCTGGGTTGTATGTCTGTTATGTGTAGTGTGTGTATTGTCCATGTTAATATATTTTTTTTAACCAAGTATGCCTGAATTATTGCTCTCTTCACCAAAGCTGTGCCAGAGAACAAAGATCTCATGTGCCTTAACTATACCAACCGCTCAGGTACAGTACATCCTTGGCAAAGTCCTTACAACTCAGGGGCTATGATTATCCAACTTATTGATTTGTCTGTCATTTTATTGGTCATTTCCTGATTTTCTCCATTTTCAAAACTGCCCATCTGTCAAAACATTTGGAATCCTTTTAACCCACAGTAAGACAGTGTAACTGTACACAAGGGGTGGCTGAAAAAGCACCTGTTCGTGTCACCCTTGGATGTTATACATCGGCCACAACAAGGTGAACTTTCAAAACTAATCTATATCAACTATTTAAAAAGAATTACAGACAACAGTGAAGATACTGTTATACTGAGAAGCACTTTTAACAGTCTATCTGTAATGCTGTGTTAATACTTCAAACCACCTTTAATAAACTGTGAAATACTTGTAAAACAGAACATTTACTGTGTAAGCAGAGCTCTGGAGTATAGCTCACAAACATCTGGCTAGCTCTTCTTTTTTAGCTCTCCTTCCTGAACATCAGTAAACCTGAGACGGCGCACAGCTGGCGTCGAAGCAGATGTCCGCTTTCCGTGAGCCGAGTCCTGACGGCACACCTGCTGTGTGGGGCACTGCGGAGCAGGTGTCTGCCAGCCATCTCAGCTGGCCGGAAAATGCTGTGCACGCAGAGCTTTTCTGCTAGAGTTACCACTCTAAAGAGTCTCCTGAGACCCCGGACCGTACTGTTAAATTCTCAGGCATAAATTTCCCCACCTTCCAGCTGGTACAGGAGAAGGCAAAGTGCTCTCAGCAACCCAGCCTGCCAGTTTCAGTCCATTGCAGGAATAAGCTACAGGCGTTTTGATTAATGATGTCATTGATTTCAGCTCAGTGGAATGAAGACCAGAGCGCTGTGTGCCGCAGGAGGACTGTATGTGGCAGAGTTCTACATGAATTTTGCCCGATAAGTGGAGCTCAGTGGAGTACTTACCCAAACAGAAACATGAAGATGTTTAGCAAAGCTAACCCGTAAAACTCCTGATAAAATATTACACCTGCCAAAAAAAAAAAAGAGAAAGAAGATATGAGCAAACAACGCTGAGCCAGTTAGGTAAGAATGTGAGCTACCCTCCCATTTCAGACTGAATTTATAAAACAAAGCAGGTCTCAGACATCCATTCAGAATGTTTTTAATGCTGTAAATTCAAGTATGTACAGAGGCGTAATTCAAAACCGTATTTGCCTAGACTCAAAGTGCACAATTAAAGATAACACCCCTTCCTGGTGTTGTTCTTCTGCAACCTTTAATGAAGTTGATGGGCTTCCTGATTTTACTGGCAAATTTGCAACTTTTAAAAAACGGAAAGGAAACTAAGCGTCACATAAGCAAAAGTGCGGTCAACCACTCAACCCACACACAAGAGAGGGTGTGACATTGCTTTCTCCTGGGACATTCTGTATCGCAGGGCCTTGCTCTTAACGAGCTGCATTCCAGCTAACTGGCACCTGATTTTCCTCATCCAGCACTATTCCCTTAGTTCTGGGTGATATTATAAAAGATTATTCTTTTTCTGATCCATGGAGCACACTGTCCTACTCCGCCACCATCTGCCAGACCCTTTCAGCCAAGGAATTGAGGTAACAAAATCAAAAATGCAAGCTCTTTCGTATTAAAGCAGATTTTGGTACATGATAGTTCAACTGGGCATTGACAGAGCTAGGCAATGAATCCAGTAAAATAACAGATCCATTACCCCAAAAATACCGTCCCTGTAAGAGTGGCAGTTCAACATTATAGATTAATTTAAGTATTTCTTTTCCATGAACTCAGTATGGGTACTAGTCTATTGAACTGTTCACATCGCAGTTTGTAGTTCACAGCAGTAAGGCACAATAGGATTGAAATATAAGGTAAAAGAACCATACATTTGTCTGTATGTGAAGCACTTCAAGACCAAATTCCCTTTTGGTATCAATTGAATTTTATTAGAGGGAAGGATCCCTGTCTTCGTGTGAGTTTCCTCCCGGTGCTCCCACAGTCAAAGACATAATAGGCTAACTGGTGGGTTAACTGGCTCCTGGGAAAATTGGGCCCTGTGGGAGAGTGTGTGTGTCTGCGTGTGCCCTGTGATTGGGGAGTCCCATTCGGGATGTATCCCACATTGCTCCCACTGCTTGCTGGGATAGGCCCCGGTTCCCCCGCGAGCCCGAATTGGATAAAGCGGTTAGGAAATGGATGGATGTAGGCATGGATTTAGACCTTGAAGTAAGGAATTAATTCTACCATTGCGCATTCACCTGGAGAGGGACCGTTTTCCCTCTCAGCAGGAGGACTGCCACACTGTCCCCCAATAGACTTACAGTACTGCTCTATTGAACTGATTGAGAGCAGGCCCTTTCCAGGCCAAGTTTACCATAACAGGGGAGCAGGTATTATGGTCATTGGTCTGTGAAATACCACAGCTCTACTCTTCTCTCTCTCCCCCCCTCTGTCCTTCCTCACCCTGCCATCTGAAAGATAAACCCTTACACACTGCCAACATTCAAACAGTGATCAAATCATTATTCTGTCTTATTGTGGACTCTCTCTCTCTCAGCTGTGAACTGCACTCCTTGTTGCAGCTGCTGATAAGAAGAGTCTGCAAGAAGGGTCTACTCAGCTGTAATCACTTGCTCAAGGTCTTTTCCTGCTCAGAACATTGTACTTTTCCATCTGTGTTTAATTCAGTTAACTGAGTAGAATATGCTGCCCTTCCTCGTGTGATAATGTCAGAGGGGTATAAAGTCTTTCTGACAGCTGTAACCCCCCAAGACTGTCTGTAGAACTTTCCAAATACACTCTCCCCTGTGTGCTTCAATAAAGAACTGTCTTATCCCGAATAGCAGGTCATCTGTCTCTTATGAGCATGTTCATACACTTTACATCTACGTGGGACTCAGTCTAAAAAAAGTGGATTAAATATCATGGCCTTGATGGACGATTCTCGGTTTCTTGTCTCTGTTCTTTTGACTCACAGCTTTCTTCTGGTGTTTTGGAATGAAGCTTCTTAAGCAGTATAATCCTTACAAACCTTAAGAATCGTAAAAAAGGAGCAAGACACAAACAGTGTGGGATGATGAAAAATAGACACCTGTTTTACACAGCAGAGTCCAGCTCCTAAAGTCCATTGAAGCAACAATATGCTCAATATCATATATACCACGATATATCTTCATTCAGATGTATTTGTGCAGCACTTTCTATTTCTCCTCTAGACTCTGTCCAACGTCTGCACGACAGGTGATATCGTAGCAGACAGAAGCCAAGCGACAGCCTCTTTCCCAGAAGGTCATGCTTTCTCTCTGTAAACCCCTTATATGCAGAGCAGAACGGAATCACTTCCTCTAGGCAGTGTTCAAACATACTCTAGCTGCCACTGTAAAATGACTTTTTTTACAGTTTAAATGTACGTTTAGGGAAAAAAAGAATTAAGAAGCATGCAAATACTTAAACAGGACAACGGCCGAGCACTTCTAAGAGGGATAAAGACGATAAATACAGCGTTGTAAAACTAGTTTCCTTCTACGTCCACATGCAGTCCTGAATAAAAACAAATTGCCTGAACATTGAAATTCAGCCCTGTTTGCTCTACTGTTATGAGTTTGAATTCCACATAAGGCTGCAAGTATGAATTCATCACCCGAGGGAACCAAGTGATCGTTATTAGCAATTTGAAAGGGACAGCAGCGCGTGCGTTCTGCCGAGTTCGAAATCCCACTTTCATCCCTCCGATGAAAGGCCCCTGTTTTGCATGGGGCCATTAAAGAGTGAGTCATGACTGTTAAGGAGGTGGAAATTCATTCCTTTGAGACCGAAGCTGCAGGAGGAAAGGCAATACAATCTAGCTGAACGGGCAGGCTTCACAACCACTGATCACTTGCAGATTTTTTTTTTAAATTTCACAACGATTAAAACCGGCCATACAATTTTACCTTGCAAAGAAAAATGCCAGTTCCCCCTTTCTACATATGGAGTTTTTTTGGTTTATTAGCGAGATGCTGATCTGTGCGATTAAATAACTAATTCTTTCTTTCTGCTGGCGGATGACTCACACAGAGAACTACAGAATGTAATCCTCTATCTGCACAGCATCATTTTCCAAGAAGCAAAGCAATGAAAGCCTCAGTCTGGCACTTCCCAGCAGCCTGCCTATCAGAGGCTCGATACTCCTATTAGGACTGCAGGTTGTGCATCAAACAGTGGAGACTTTGATGCAAGATGATCAAAGACAGGCACACCTGTTTAACACACTGCCATCGTACACAGAATAAACCTCATGCACAGCATACCTTAAAAACACAGCTCTGATTACTCCCCATTCTGTCCAGCCTCTATACATGTCCAGAGGTATTGTTGCAGAGAAAAGCTGTAATTTTTCATTCTAATTAAATGCATTAACTCTTATTATGTACAAAATGACTGCACTTCTATTCATGATTTGCTGATGCTCCCTGTTGGATTCACAAACGGAAATAGAGCAACAATGTGTGTTGCATTTCTTATATTATTGGATTTAAAATGGTCGAGCAATCCAAACCGTGTCTTCATTTTCTTCCTCATATACAGCTCTTTTCCAGAGACCCCTCACTCAAAATAACATTTTGTTAACATTTTACCTCATCTGAATCCAGCAACAAGATGTTTATCATTTCTGCTTACTTATGACTACTGTGTGAACAAATATTGCAATCCTTCATCAGCAAAGCCAAAACCTCAATGTAAGAAATATTGTTCTTCTAAGACAGACACACTGTCGTCTTCTAAAAACATAAGGTATTCACCCTCTTATGTAAACTATGCAAAGCAAACATGTTGAACCACATACTTAACCTGTATATATAAATAAGAATACATCACTAAAAGCAACATATTTTCATCAAGCTGTGTTCTAAAACTGAGATCTGTGATATACTGTAGTACAGCCATTTAAATAATTAGCTATCTTACTTCACTCAAAGCAGTATCAGAGGAATTTAAGAATCTGGTCATGTTTCACAGTCTCCAAAAAGGAAGCAGACATTCTAACAAACAAAATTATTGTCACACAGAGATAAAGGTGAAAACGTATAGCATTTATTCTTAGGCCTTAAACCTAACAGATTGACCTTGTTACACCACATGCTTCTGGTTTTGCACACATTATGCCAGAGGATGAACACTTTGAGTCTTTTATTATCAAGCAAGACAATGTCATCCATGATGTTATGAGAGGCCAACCAAGCAGAAAGAATTGAGATTTCCCTCAAGAAGATATTAAAAACCTGATTTTTAATCTATAATAATGCCACGGGTTACTGGGTTATTTGTAAAGACTACTAATTTTAAATCTCCTCTCCCTGCCTTGTAAACTGATTTAACAGGTGATTTGACCACAATGTATAATTTTCTTGCAACTTTGCATTTTCAAACAAATGTTCAGCATTAGCAGAGCATTTACAAATCAAAAATGCACTTCTGCATCAATATAGTGATAATCCTTGAGGACAGAATTACTTTCAAAAGGTTCTAGTCCTGTATATTCCATGAGTACATTAGCATTTTTCCTCTAGCTTGGAAGTCTTGACAGGACAGCTCTATGTGAATGCAAGATTTAAGAATTCACATTCATCAACTAGAATTTTTGACATACAACTCCTTCTAATTTTCAATCGGTATTACCCTAGTTCCTTAGGCATTCAAGGATGTTAACAGAATGCCCATTTAGAAGAATCTCCCACATCTCATTTAAATAATTAGCTGTCTTACTTGCCTCAAAGCAGTATCAGAGGAAGTTAATAATCTGGACATGTTTCAGTGCATCTCCAAAAAGGCAAATCAAAGAGATCTATTATCATCAAAGCTATGCCTTCCTTAATCTTTAAGCAGCTTTCCCCCGATGAATAAGACCACCAAAAGTAGAATAAAATAAAAGTACACACGAAATGAACAGGATAGAAAATTAAGTGGTTATTATCTGAGTTATCAGTGTTGTTAAAGTTCAGTGAATTTTCAGTTATGGCATCTTTATCACTCCTGCTTGAAATCATGTCTGAGGTGTCTTCCCCTTGCTAATTTCCCTGAAATAGGTAGTGTGGCAAATAATTATATAAATATATAAACAAAAGGCATTTTTTTTATCAACAGTACCAGAAATACACACAGTACCTGCAATTATTGCACTTGCTGTGAAAAACACAAAGTTAATGGGCACCACTTCAGTCGCATTGAAAAGCTTCATAGCCTGGTTTAAAAACCTGGGAAGAAAATGAAAAGAATCAGCGTCATAGAAGAGCAACACCCTCTTCTTTCAAGAAAGCAGAGAGATTTTTGTTTGACACATTACCTTTTGAAAACTTCAACCACTGTTAGTCACGCTGAAGAGGGGTAAATTAAAAAAAGCAAAAACACCATAACAATCGTCTACATCACACAAACACATTTTAATCACAACCAACAAAGGGAGAATGGCCTCGTGTTATTTTACCTGCAGACACAAGTGGTAAAAAACAGTAAAAAAAGTGGTAAAAAGTAGAAACGACTGGATGTAAAGGCTGGAGACAAAACACAGAACTAACTAATTAAACCACCTTATTCCACATCCTCTTTCCCAACACAAGGCACACACATCTTTTTTAACACACACAAATGGTTTATAGCCGAGAGGCAGCTTGTTGTTATATCAGTATTTCTACATTTTGCTGCTGTTTGCAATGTGATACGGACCATTCCGAGACACCTTAAATAAGTCGATCAGTATCTGTGGAAACTCACTGCATGCCGATACGCTGTACAGTATGTGTTTGCTATTTTGACTTGCAAATGTAGAACAGAGATACTTGACACCTTGGTATGATGAGACCCGAAATTAAGGGCTGAGAAAAAAATGCCAAGACTTGCCAGCTGTTTGCAACATGGCCATTTAAAATCCATCTTACATCTCACTTTAACGCATGTTCTTCTCCACCTAGACACTCAACAAACTAAAAATGCTTGTGAGCCTGACTTCTAGCGTAAATAAACACGGACATACCTGATCTGAAAGGCACAGGAAGCGACCATTACCACCGTCATCACGTAGAATATGGGGTAGGTGAGCTGCAAGCTGCCTTTCACCGACTCGGTTATCATGCCGGAGACGGCCTTCACAGAAATGACCGTCAGGGAGGCTGCAATGACAAGGAAAGGCATGCAGTCACCCGGCAGAGGGTCAGGAGCACCGCTGCACCCTCCCGCTGGGTGACTGCTGCCCGGAGGAAAAGCCACTTCTGGGGTGAAGGGCCCACTGGCACGGCGATGGCACTGCTGAAGCAACGCAGCGTCAGGTATACGTTAGGCATTTTCACCAAGGGGTGGCGTCCCATTGCAGGGTGTGCCCTGCCTTGTGCCTGATGCCTGCCAGGACAGGCTCCAGTCCCCCCACAACCTTGAATTGGACAAAGAAGTTAGAAGGAACACAGATAAAAAGTTTATAACGGGATAGCAGTTTGTCCTTAAAGTGCTATTTCAACCGCCTGCAGCTGGTTGCATTCAAGTTGCAGCGCCATGACTTTGTATCTGACTGCTTGTTCTACAGTTAGTCACATGAAGGGAAAAAAAAAACACACACTGACATGCGACTCTATGACGACAGTGGGGATTATTTGCGATGCAAACAGTGTTAGAAAAAAGTGAGGGTAATTACTCACTGAACTGAAAAAAGTCCTTCCTCTCAATTCTGACAATCCACAGTCATATTTAGCCATTAAAACACCCTCTGTCCTTGAAAATATACTGGACATTTCAGAGTGGACATTTCAGGCATATTGTTTAAAAAAAAGGCACTATAAGAAAAAATTGTCTCTTTACAATTTTATATACAGCACTGCTTGCCATTACACTGAACTCCTTTTCTCCTGCTCTTTAAGCACAGCAAGACAGACCTACCTAGCAAAGCTACCAGCATCAGCACCACAACAATATGTTTCACGTTCTTCTTCTCGTGGAGATACAGCAGGATGCAGAACACAATTATTTCTAAACACTGCAAAGGAAGAAAAAGATGATAAAAACACACAAATGATTAAAACGGTGTGCACAACAGCGCAAAGCGTCCCGTGTCATTGAAAGATAAGGAATGACTTTCATTTGACAAATCTTAAAAGTTCTGTTCTAGCAAAAGCACAAACCCAACAATCAGTATTTCATTTCTAGTTAAATTAAACCCCCCCTCCAACTGGGAAGTGACATTGAAAAAGTTTGAATATTTTCGTCAAACAATGGAAAGCCTCTCTGGTACTGCTAGAGGCACACCTTGTGAGTTTATCTTTGATGAGATCTTCTGATAGAGTTCCCATTGAACTGAAATACTTGCAATATTCTACTAATCTTAACACCATCCCTTAGATCACTGTTTTCTATCTGCACTGAGTCACTCAGTTTCTGTAAATGATACTTCTCCTACCTCATTTACCTCAGTGATGATAACTCCCCCCTTCTTATCGATCTGAGTATTCATTGCAATTTATTGCAAGACTGCAATGGAAGGAAAAGCCGCATATCAGCAGAATGACTGTAGCTCTCCATCTGCCCCCAAAAGATCTTCATGCCGAGAGGCCACTCAGGGGTAACAGCCACAGGCTTTCGGGAAGACAGCAAATTCGCCTCTCAGCGGAGCTTATCTGAGGTCTCCACAGAGTGTGGCAGAGTGATTTTTTTACTCATCAATGAAAGCGGTTCTACCGTGATGGGAGACAGTGTGTGGAGACACTGTAGCGAGAGTCATGCCAACTCCTCGCATTGCTCAAGTCCTCCAGGGAGGCTGAGAGGAGGAATCTCCTTTAACACATACCCGAATGCCTTTGCCGTTGTTAGATGGAGGACAGACTGAGCTCATTGAATTCACAGGTGTTGAACTTCCAGCAGGACATTGCAAGACCGCACAGTGAGACACGCTTATTTATACAAAGATCAGGTCTTTTTCCTTGACCTGTGTCCAACAGAACATCTGTGGAACAAACTGGCCAAAGCCATCAACAAAGTCAGCCATGACTAACCATAGCTACCTGGCTGCAGTCACCCCGTGAAAAGAGGAGAAACTTCCCACAGGAGTCTGTCCAGTGGCTGATAAGGTCTAGGTGTCAACACTGCCATGGCAGTGTTAACATTCAGAGGTGTTATTCCCGATGCTAACTTTGTCATGTTTCCATTTTGATTCACACTGAAAATGTATCGTTATCATAACTGTACTTTTCTTCACCTTTCTGTGGTTTATATCGATACTGGTGTTTGCCAAAATGTGTTCAAGCTGTGTGTCATGTTACGTCTGTACATATATTCACGTATATTTCGAGAACACAAAATAGTAATGTTCACTGTTAGTTCAATGTTAAAATAAAAAACATGCATGTATATTTAAAAACATTTACACATTTCCAGGTAAATTCTGCTGTTTGCTGCACTATAAAAGAAATAAATGCAAGGTAGTTTAGTTGCCATATTGTAACCAAGCCACGTAATTAATTGTAAAGCTGAAAATTCAATCAATTACATCCTGATGATCATTTGTATGATGTCTACCGTGATGATGATAAATCTCCTTCACATTTAGAAATTATCACTTTGCCGTCATTAGAAAAGATGATTAGACAAGATTAAATGTTTCTTAACCGTTACCTAAATAATCGATCCTTCTGGGTCTGAAAATGTCACAGATCACGAAAAATAAGCAACATTTTAAATAAAAAAAAGATTGAAAAACATATTTCTGCAGCTCATCCACGGGAGCGCTGAATAGCCAACTGTAATATTCTGCCGTGAAAAGACACTGCATATTATTCATGAATTTGGTTCCACTCCCATAAAGACAATTAGTGAAGGCAACACTTCTGAGCATCATTAATCTCATTTATGACCCTGTCTTCCAATCTCCTGGTGAGCTGAATAAAGATGACCTCAGATCTTTGGTATTTTCCCCACGTAAACACCTCTCATGGTTTTTTTATTGGGTGCGTGTTCATATTTCCCCTCTCCTCAGACCTCAGCTCAGAAACACTGTTAGACGCATTAGAAAGCAACCCACCTGTCCTCTCATCTCACGTGATGCACACTCGATAGGACAATAAAAGATAAGACTAAGAGTTTACCTGCAAAACCCGCTGATCAGCTGTGAAAGGAAAGCAGACTTGTGTTCTACCATAATGCAGGGATAAAGCAGAAGAGAAGGTCTCCACGTACTATGTAAATGAGAAAATGCCAGCTGACGGAGTACTTCTGGACGACCCGTGCCGTGATCTTCTGCGCAACACTGGGGGCAAACGTGATGAGGAGATAGGTCCCGGATACCGCGAGCGCCCCACCTGCGTAAACAGTATTAACAGCAGGTTCATGGGCAAACTCTCATTCTGATTCAGAATTGATCGCATGAGAGAATGTTTCACCAACATTCTAATTATTTCACCAATATTCCAATCACCCAGCTAATGATGTTTTTTTTTTTCCACTGATGTTAATCAGACTACACCGGCCTTCATTGCAAAGGCTTCCGTGTTCATGTGTCTGCCTTAACGTCTTTGACCGTCTCAGCAAAATCTCTCGAACCCCTTTTCCTCTGAATGGCACCCAGGACACCTACAAGTATGCTTGCTAACCCGAGTCAAAACGGGTACAAGTGATGTTCCACTGCCTCGTCGGAGGAAAAGAAATCTGTTGTACTGACTGTAATACTAAGAGATTTTTTGTGCTATGCACACATTTATGTACTGTATATATAAGGTTAAAAAAAACACACAGGTTGATTTAATAATCCTGTCAATAACATGCATCCTGGCTCCGACTGAGTGCACCGGTCAACAACTTTTTTTTGTTTTCGGACACCCACTGCGATGACGGGCCGCCAGTACATACCCAAGATATCCGAGGCACGCAGGGTCTCTTTAAGGAAAATGACGGAAATAACTGCACTGGCTGGAAGAGAGAAGGGAAAGCACTCGCTTCAGTGACCATCATAACCCCCCCCGCAGTGCCACCGGACAAAGGTGAGACCTCAATTTATCTTTCTGAGCTCACACAGAAACCCCTTTACTACTCCGCTGCACATTGCAGGACAATTCAATACCGAGCCACAAGTCCGGAGGCACTTAGTTTCGTTTCCTGACAAAAAATGACATCGTGATCAAAGTGATAATAGTTCCAGATGCAGTTAGTATTGACTGGTCGCTGTTATCGTTTGGCAACGAATAATGAAGATTAGGAAAAACAATACGACCGAACGTACAGTAAGCAGTCCCCCATGACTGCGTCATAGGATGACGTTAATTCCAGGTAACGTTACGTCAATGACATTACAGGTTTTAGCTATAATCATTAAAACTGGCTCTGGAGTGAGTGTGCGGGTCTGTGTTTGTCTGCGTGACCCTGTCTTCTACCTGTGTCTTGTTGGGATAAGCTGCAGGTCCCCCACAACCCTTAACTGGATCAAGCGATTTGAAAATGGTGGATTACCATCCACAACCACATTAAGACATCTGAGGCCATCATTAAGATTGAAAATTGTAATCAGAAACAAGAAATCCCAATATATTGCATACTGTTATGATTCAGTCCAGGGCAGCTTCTGAGAAAATGTGTTCTTCCCCAGCTGCTGGAAAAGTGGTTATAAAAATGTATCATTTTTGAGGATTCCTAGAAAGAGGTAAGAAAATGGTTCTTGGAAATAATCGCCATATAAAAAACAAGCAATGTGTGATTATATGTACATTAAATCTTGCCAACAAAACCTACACATTAACCTACGCCATCAAAAGCTGATGTCCATAGTTTATTTCCAATATCCCAGGTTAGTAAGAGGTCCTAGACACATTACACAAAAACAGGGACAGGAATTAATTCATGATCAAATTCAAACACAGCTTAATGAAGTTTAGGAGACTGAGATGTGGAAAGTCACGAAGACCTATTTATCAAAACAAGAACTTCATGAAAAATTCAGCAGATAGGATTAGCACCAGACTGGATGGGAGACTCTCTGCATCTAAACAGGGGGTTATGGTTTATGAGGTGTCACTTCAAAAAGTGCAAGAAGCATTTTTGTCAGAGAAAGGACATCTTTTTCCTAAAATAATAATAATAATTATAATAGCGATTTGTTTGCCATCAAGGTAATTAAATTAAGAGCTCCTAAAGCAACTGTTTATGTACTTTTCCACAATCCAAAAGCCTGAAATAGACCAAAATAAATCAATTTTTAATCATACGTATACAGTACAGACTATGTTGCACACGCTGTCAAATACAAAGAGAAAGATCACAGCCAGCTGTTTTCATATTTTGCTGTTTAAACTTACATACATAAACCTTTACAATCCTACAGCTCGTAACCATAGTAACTGCGTACACTAGTCAGATGATTGTGTAAGCAGGATCATAATGGGTTTTTTTCTATTTAATGAGCTCCACAGAGAAGACGTTTCTGTAAAACTGAATAAAACATTGTTAAAACATAATAAAATGTTTTCCATCATTATAGAACCCTAGGTAATTTTTCAGATCCTCTGTATGAATAGAACAATTCAGGGGAGTAAAGAATTAAACGTACAGTACTGAAATGCGTCTTGTTCCCTTTTGAGAAACAAAATATATTCAGTGCGACATAAGCGAGCCATCCTCCTTACACATGTGACCAAAAGCCAGAATAAACCTCTTCTGGATTTCATATCATGAGCCATACAGTATGAGAGGTGAAGCAGTAAGACATAAATCTAGACTTTCGGTTATTTGGGATTGAGAGGTGAACAAACCACTGCAGACTTGATTCATCTGCGCTCTCCACTCATAAGCCTCCTCTTCATGGCCTGACGAAGTACCTGCTTCGAAATTAATTGACACAGCACTACACTACTCTCACTACAGCAACAGGTGACAGGAACAGTAACTCCCATTACTGTCTGTGCAGGTGAATGGTTTGTTACAAATCTTGCAGAGATCCCATTAAAAAATTTTTTTGAGTATTCCTAATTATAGGCACATATCGGAGCAAATATTTCCAGGACTTCGAGGAATGCGTTGTTGGTTTTTAACAAAGAGGGATTTCTCACCTTGCCGTGTTGAGTGGGTTGGAGTGGTAATTTAAAATTTAACCCAGTGTTAAATGATGCCCATCTTCCCAGTTTAAGTGATTAATTAATATGCAAATGACTCAAGACCTTAATTTGGAGCAGCAGCACTGCTGCCGGGGGGGTGTGGAGACGCTCTCTAAGTGCTGTGTCCGTGTCCCTGCTGCTGCAGCACTTGAGCAGACAGGGCTGACCCCAAGCAACCCAAATCCTCCAGCCGTGGCAGAAATCTTAAAGCATCAGGCCCTGAATGAACACCAGCGAGGAGCGATCAGACGATCCCCTCCCAACTCCATCCTTCAGAGACTAGTTTAGAAAAAAAGATTTTGGCCGTTTCGCCTATCACTCCCACAGCAGAGACGTTTCCAGTTAGTGGCAAAAACTGCATTACTGGACAAGGAAGGATGGTAATGTTTTGGTCCCTCATTCCCTTAACAGGAGTTAATGGCAGAGAGGAAATGTAACTTTTGTATCAGACTGTAATGGGCTAAAACAATTTTGGGAAGCCGATATCAATTCCCATCTGCCTAAATGAGTTTTCATTTCTTTCCTGTAACCTTGAGCACTGACACAGCAAGGGTTCTTTTTCAAACCCAATGAATAATGAATGTGCTGTATGGGAAAAAAAGTTCCTTTTCGTACAAAGGCCGAGGAGAGGGAACAGGGCCTTTCCTTCTGATAGACACTAAGATACCGCCAAGGGGGAATAATTGCTCTCTCTGGTGGCAGCCTCTAAGGGCTCAAGATGTGTCAGTCAGCGTCCTGCACAAAGAGAGAGCAGACTGCCACATGACACAAATTTAATCAGTTTTATGCTGCCCTTCATGTCAGGCCCGTTTAGGAGATTTTAACTTGTTCAGAAAGGTAGCATAGCTTCTACAGAGACTATACGCCAGGACATTTATACTAGGCTACCCTTTAAAAATTCTCGTTTCAACCCCCCAAAAATTACAATAATGAGTTACAGTGCTCATTCGTCAGAGGTACAGAAATTCTATGGGACCAGACGAAAGAGCAGTACTAGGCCACATGAAAATGCCAAGCACTGAAACAGGTACAGAGCTCATTAATACTGGCCTTTATCTGTCCACAGGGACTCAAGCTTTATGAGTCACTGCACACCATATTCTCATGACGACGTATCAGACTGAAGGGCCTCACACAGACTGTTTTTTTTACTTGACAGTTGGAAACACGCGGTACTGTTTTCAAGAATCCAGTATCCTCCTCTTCAAAAGGGGTTTTAATTTCAAGGAAGAGCGATCACCAAAATGACAATTTGACCACACTGGCAGCTGTATTCCAGGTAGTTTTCTGCGATGTGAACAAAGCATCACACACAACGAAGTTCATTTTACACCATTGTGAAGCTGGGAAATTAAAATCAGTGACAGTTAATTTTAGACTAAAATTCTGTTTTCATTCCGCGCCTGGAGACCAAAGCCATCTGGCCTTTCTACAAAGTCAGCCAACACACACTTATTTCAAAATCTCCTTCATGACCACACAGGAAAATTGGACTGAACTCATAATGTGTGAGGACAGCTAAAGACTAGTTATAGTTAACGAGAAAATATGATGTTGTAGTGGCCATTCGTTCATTTGGAGAACTACGAACAAACTCTCTGCATAAAGTTACCTTTGATTCACTTGGTCTTGAGCGGTCATGCTCGTGGGGAAAAATGGAAGTTACTTTTTGTTAAGGTAACAAAATGGCAGCAGATTTTAAAGAAAAGACTTATATCAAATGGAGACATAACATGTCACACGCAGTAGCACATATAGCTGGGCAACTGCTTCTTTCCAAGCCAGCATGGACACTAGGACTTAATTAATTTGTGTTTAAAAACACCTCAAATAAACCAGCTTTGAGGAGATGTTTAAGAGAAGAGAGACAGACATTTGAGATCTGAGATCTTTTGTCACATGTCACATTCAGGCACCTATTGCCAAACAAGACAGAAATGAATAGGGCCTGGAGAACAGGCTAAACAAATATATGTGAACACATAATAAACTCAGAGAGCAAACCTTCAATAAGGAGAAAGCATGGCCTGTTAAATATTTGATCTGCTGTCAGGACAGCAATGTGTCACTTTGATAACACATTCTTCTTTATATCATCTAATTTTTACACAATAGTAGGAGGATCATTTTACTGAATACAAAGATCAACTCGGGCAGATGATAAAGCTTCTGCAGTTCCCCATAAATGGTGCTGGGTACATGACTGACATTCTGGAGCCAGGAGCAAACCTTACCGATAACAGAGACGCATCCCAGGGGAGCAATTAGTGTAGCAGGGGCAAATCCATAGGCCGTGAAGTTGCCCAGTTCTCCAATCCCCATCAGGATGATGGCGCACCACCAGAGTGCGCTCTTGTAATAGGGCTTGGAGTCGGGACACTTAGACACACGCACGTGGGTGTACTTCTGGAAAAAAAATACATGCCGAGTTACCAAGACTCTCCTACAGTCCCTGGACACACCTTATGAAATGCAATCTGGTGGGTGACAGACTTCTCCAGCTCTACCAGAGTGTGCTGCCCTTACACAATGAATCAATGAATGCAATAAGGAGAGCACTCATGGAAACAATACTCAATCGCCTCTGTAAAAGGAATATGCTGAGTGCTCATGCATTTAATTGGATTCCCTTAAGTCCTCATTGGTGCAGTCAGGGACGTACGAAACCCAGCAAAATCCTCAGAGTACACAGCGTTAGAGGATTCCAAAGTTGGCTCTATTTTCCACATAAGCAATGGTTATTGTTGTCTGACAACCTACTGGCCTCGGTTTGTGGGGGCTGATGAGAAAGTACTGCTTTTGTGCTGTCCTGCCCTAGGATTGATTGACACAATAGAACAATGGAAAGCCGTGGCAGGAAAATTCCTGCTGGATACGTGACATGGTAGATACACAGGAGAAGCAAGAACCCAGCAGAGACATAAGAGTGACAGGAAAAGCTTGGAAGGGAAGCAACAGAGGTCCAGATTCCAAAAGATGGAAGAATGCATCTTTAAGTGTTTGCACAAAGTCCTTACCTGTATATTTAAAGAAATGCTGATCAAAAAGTTGCCAATAATAGAAATGAGAATCCCCAGCAGTTGAGTCTGCAACACAAAAAATACCCAAGCTGTTTAAGGACACACACTGCCTAAAGGCACTGTCTTCAAGAGCAAAGAGAGGAGCTTCCAAAAAGTCTGCATTAGACATCTTCATTTTCTCATTTTTTCAACTATTAGATGGTACACTTTGACCACACAAGGTGGAGTGCTTCTAGCTGGATATGCTGAAGTGCTGAAACACGATGTTGAGACCAGATCTAGCTTGCCCTATATAGTTTTAAGTTAAAACAACTTCACTTTGACGTCATGTACTTCTCTAAGCAAACGTGATTGATGAAAAAGACTGTGAACTACCTCAGAGAAGAGAAAAAGTTGATAGGTCAAGAGTGTAAGGGTTGTTTTTAACATGTCTGACAACTTTCCTGTACACTTTCGCACAAGGTTGTGTTCCCTTGAAACTGTTGTCCGATATCACTAACAAACGGAGTAAGCCAACAAACTGGGACTTGTGTGGCATCGAGGAAAGGAATTTCCTTCACAGACAGTAGTCTTGAGGGCACATCCCTACCCATCACTTTCCACAGGGGCATCAGCTAACAGTAGCCTGATCTCATCATCAATTGGAAGTGAAGGACAGTTGGACCTGGTCGCTACTGGGATGGCCTACTGCTAAGTACAGTAAACCAGGTTGTGGACAACTGTTGTTAGTGGACAAGAAGGTGGGGTACTTGTCCTGGACTAAAAATTGCTGATCCAATGCCTCAGTATCTATTACATAAGATTTTAAAGCAAGGTCCGGATTACCTGTTTAGTAAAAGATGCCACAGCACTATTAGTAAGACGAGGGTTGTTGTCCTGGTTGATTTCCTCTCTGAGCTTGCACAATCCAGCCGCCCTGAAGCTCACCATCAATTAAACCAGTTTCTCCCTTCACCACCTGCTCTGTTGTGCAGTGGGGATGCTGATACAGAATGGCTGCCACATGTCACCCATGCATTCCAATGCTGGATTAACTGGCTTCCCTATTCTATTCAGAGCACTTCTAGATATGCTTTGCTCTAACAAATAAAAGGAATTATTATTAAATATACTGTTTTAATGTGACATCTTAAGAGATAGTGGTATGGCTATTTTTAGTTTTAAAACTTAGGATATACACATTTACAAGTAGGTTATTTATGCAGCTGCACCAACAGTTGGTCATGTATTATATTATTTTTATTTTCAATTTTTCATCTTTGACATTTAATGCAATAATAAATTGCCAAGTTGCAGTGAATGCAATGCAATGTGTGGCTGGCAGGGAACTAGGCACAAGGAGCACAATTAGCTGGTGGAAGTCCCTCTTTCTCATTAGCTCAACACTGATCAACAAAGTCTCCTTCGTCTCGGCAAGCTCAATAAATGAGAAGAGGCTTCAGGCACAGAGCTCCCGTGAGTTAATTGAATAAACGCATGAAAGTTACTAAATAAATCTTTCAGAACACTTCAGGATCCTTCAAAATAATGCTGCAGCCAAAAGCATTAATCAGTGACCAAGGTTCCGACTGCTCTGGGGTATAAGACAGAGCAACAGATTATTCTGTCACACATTCAACAAAATCCAGAGCAAAGGAAGAACGTGTTCGATTCTTTTCAATGCGAAATCTAGATGAATTACAGAAGGCAACATTTTATCTAGATCCTACTCAGTTTGGCTACAAAAACAAGAATAGAAAATGATTTTATTTTCTAAAATAAACTGCCTTTAATTTCAGTTGGGTAGAAGGTCTTAGTTTAAGTTATATTTAAAGCAACAGGATGAAAATAAGGTACTGATTGTGTTTTAAGGCATAGTATTAAGGCATAGTGTTTTATTAAGTGGAAAACAGGAGGTGTTGCCAGAGCTAGTATTGCTTTCAAAGTAACCTTGAGGATTATAAAAAGAACTTGTATTCCAAGGGTGTAGAAAGTTGCTTTATTTTTTTTCTTAAGATCTAAGGGAGCTTCAGAGCCGTTCACCACCCTAAACGAAAACCATTCAGCAACCTGCAGCCAGCTTTGTGGTGCAATACAATCACTCTGTACAAAGAAAACAAACTACACCCAGGCGACAGATTCTGTAAGAGTCCTTTCCCAAGAGACAGGAGGATCCCTACAGACACACAGCTTCTTAAAGTCCGGTGTGTCCTTTTAGGGCTGCAGTGGCAGTGTCACCTGTATTCAGCTTCTGCCAGCTGACCAGGTCTGCTAAAAAACACTCTGTATATTTTTTGTTTTTTCTTATTTGTTTCGTATTTGCTATGACCACTGAAAGCCCTGCCTTAGTGCTTTGGGCACTTAGTGATTAGGCTGGACTGAAAACTATTTTTTGCTCAGCACTTCGGGAGGTGTCAGAGGTGAGCAAGAAAATAAAGATTAATTCTGTTTTACCTTTACTGTGCAGTAAAGGAGTACCTGCATGCCTCATCACTGTCCAGCACATCTGTTCAAACAGGTGCTGTCCTTCGGATGAGACGTAAAACCGAGGTCCTGACTCTCTGTGGTCATTAAAAATCCCAGGGCGTTTCTCGAAAAGAGTAGGGGTGTAACCCCGGCGTCCTGGCCAAATTTCCCATTGGCCCTTACCAATCATGGCCTCCTAATAATCTCCATCTATGAATTGGCTTCATTACTCTGCTCTCCTCCCCACTGATAGCTGATGTGTGGTGAGCGTTCTGGCGCACTATGGCTGCCGTCGCATCATCCAGGTGGGGCTGCACATTGGTGGTGGTGGAGGGGAGTCCCCATTACCTGTAAAGCGCTTTGAGTGGAGTGTCCAGAAAAGCGCTATATAAGTGTAAGCAACTATTATTATTGTTCCAACAAGAAATGTAATATCAGTGAGCCCCTGTAGCTTCAGGGAGGTCTTATCATCCTCATAGTTCATAACCTTTACAACCTTTATCATTTTAAAATGGTTTACAAACCAGCAACTCTTTTTTTCCAAAAGAATGACAGGAGGTGCATTCGATCTTTCAAAGCTGTGAACCTGTGAACTCGAGCAGTACTTCCTAGCAATGCAGAGGTGCTGTTTTTGTGGGGGGGGAGTGGGGGTGGGAATTCAGACTGCTCGCCTGAGTGTTATTTACCCTCCGGTGACTCAGCCAGCCTGGCTGCTCTGCTGTGCAAACAGAGCTGTCGGTGAAGCCAGAGGGTGGGGCTCAGAGGCACAGGAGCTGGCCCTGCCCCTGCCCCTGGGGCAGATCGGTCTGAGAGACGAGCACAGCCGTAGTGCCAGAGGGCAAAGTCCTGTAGGGCTCGTAGCAGGGTTCCAGTGCGGACTTGCCTCAGTGTGCATTAGCAGCAGAGCTCTCACACCTGAGGACGGCTCAACTGCTGAAACCCGGCGTTTCTCCTTTCCACTTTTCAGCGTGGAATTAACCTCAACTTGTGCTTCGTTATGCTTTGCTACAGATTTCTTATCTTATTTAATTTGATTATCAGAGGTCTCCAGTTGTCTGCTAGATCAACAGCTACATACAGTACAGCAAGTCCTAAAAACAAAAAAAGCTCTGCGGTTTTCTGTCCAATGCTATCAGGATAAAACACAGAAATCTAATAAAAATATTTTTTTTTGAATATACTGACACTTAATTGGTTTTAACTTTCAATTTGCACAGCCTGTGAGAAGATCTTTTCAGTCTACAATGAAAACTGTCAAATGTCAGCAATCTCTCTTCAGTGTCTGGGGGTTATTTTTTTTCCCCAAGATCTGAGGCCAAGAAAAAAATATGCAATTCAAAAAGCAGCAGCAAGCTCGTCATGAAATCCCAGTGCTCCTATAGCTAAGCAAAAGCAGATACTGCTATAGATATAAGCCACAGTAAGGTGATCTTTTACATCTTGTTTACCAAACCTATTTTCACAGTAGGCATTGTACTAGGCACTCTGTAATGATTTATGATCAGTGACATATTTAACAGCATTGCACTGGATTGTTACAATCATACACAGTTTGTCAAAATGCAGTGATAGAAATCTGCTTTCCCTATTTCCTGTCTAACATCCCTGTATGAAACTTCACTGTTAGCTACTGTATATGTCCTACCATTGTTTGTCTTCTCCCCCATTTTATGGCTGGTTGCTATACAGTATTAGCAGTTTTCCAGTAAGACAGTATTACCCCTGTCTTGACAGCATAACAGTTAAGTTAACAGTCTAAGAACAATACTGTTTCCTCAAGTATAACTGGTATAATAGCATCAGGGCCTGAAGCTTTATCTTAATGGCCTGCAGTACCTGTAAAACAGTCTGCCTCTTCTATGCCGATGTAATTTAACGCAGCACTTTGTGCTTGCTCAGCCTGGGGCATGTTGTTTGTTCCTTCCTTCATAAACACCTGACTGAAAAATCAGCTATTTGCCTGTCATCATGCAAAACGGTCCCATCTTTCTCTTTTTACTTCTCGTTTCCCTTTTTTTTTAAGTGGGAAAAAAAAACCACATTTATTTTAGCCTCCTCTAGAATTATTTTTCTCTCTCGGTCTTTCTGACATGAGCTTTGGAGTTCACTTCACTCGTTATCTTTCATTGTAGACAGCTCTTTTTGAATTCTTTTTAAAGTGCTCTTCTTTTCTGTGTAGATAAGAGGACAGGAAAGGTTATGAATAAGAGCAGGTCATTTGGCCCGTCAATCACGTCAATCATCTGATCATCAGAAGTTACGTGATCCAAGAATCTCACCCAGCTGTTTCTTGAAAGAAATCAGAGTTTTGGCATCAACAAACCAGCTGGGCCGCTTCTTCAGTCCTCCATATAACTATATGGACCTCTGCTTTCCTGACTTTGACTTACTTGTAGGATGAATCGATCTGCTCGTTCACAAAGAATATCTTCAAGCTGTTGCCATCCATTATTTAGATGATTACATATTTCTTCTATTCCAATCTCTTTCTCAGCATTTTTGTCTCATTTAAAAAGTGGGCATTTATTATATATTATATAAAAGGCTATTTTCTTTTCTACTTATTCTAAAGTTCTTCTGCATTGCTCACAGAATACACAAGCTAACTCCCACAGACGGCT